ATGCACTAACTTTTTAAAGATCTTGTAACTAATTTGTTATGGTTTTATAATTATCATAAATATGATGCTCAAGTGAAGATTTATAAATATTGTAAGTTCAACAAAATATTTGTAACGATATTACCTAATTAAATTTCATGTAAATAAATTAGTTAATTAGAAATCTATTTTCGGTAAAGTTTAAGCCAAATGTTTCAATAACAAATGAATGCATATATTTTAATGATTATTTAAACTGCGAATAAACATTGGCAGTACATATTTATAAATATTCTTTGATATTTGGAAATTGTTTTAGAAGAATAATTACATGTATATACATTTATAAAATTTCACTTAACTGTTGTTACATTCTTTATTATAATACAGAATCTTTATTGATATAAATCAGCGGTAAAATAACTGAACCGTTTAGGTCAGTACAATGTTAAGACATTACTTTATCATAGTATATTTTAAAAACAAATTCCACTTCTTGACAAGATAAGACCAACACCGATGTTTTTGTTTACAAAACTGCTGCTATGACACATGTCTTTACCCTCCAGGTATGATTTACTAAAATCTAATTTCACAAATCTAGAAATGTCATATGTTGTACACAGCGATTTGATATTAACATCTGTCTTTTTAAGGAACTAGAATATTTCTGCTACAACTCTTTTGTTTTCAATTACAGGCGCTGCCAGCTCGATAACATGTAGCCATTCTAGGTCAAGAGAGTTATTTATAGAATCTATAAATTCCAAATGTAAATTTTACGCACATACTTGCCCCAGCGGCGACTCGTTTGAAGCAGGGGATTGTCTAGGTTGTCCAGCCGGCGGCTGTCCTGTCATGGGATACGATGCCGACCAACAGAGTAGTCTAAGGGGGTCTTTCTATCTCAGCACTTCAGGACAAGCACCGTATTGTGGTAAGACAATCAAAACTAAACAAGCAAAAACAAAACCATTCGCATTGTTCAAGGTTTATGTCTGTATTATAGTCAAATATCTATAGATATAACATTCAAATAAGTTGCTCAAATACTATTTCCTGCAAGAATCTACATAGTTACTTTCTATCTTCAAGCGTAAACCGACTGTTTTGGTCAAACTTCTGTAATTAAGATTACTTGAAAACTTAAAAAAACTTTTATTTTTGTTTTATTTCAAACAAGCGTATGCATTATGATTATTCTAAAAGTCTACATGTAATTTTTATCTAGAAGAAAATTAATAGGAGAAATAATTGGTAGATTATTTTGATCATGAATGTTTTGAATGACTATAGGTCATGAGTATTTTATTGATATCAAGATGGCGGACAGGATGTTTCACACGTATGGAGAGTTTATTATAACTCTGATAGGAACTAATGGAAAGTCTGAGCCACTAAAGTTTGAAAGGTAAGTCAAACCTTCTAAAACGTTTTTTAATAGATCTGTATTAAGAGCTTGCATGACATGACAAACTTACATTATTCTATGTTAAATAAATTTGTTTACTTAAAAATATAGTTGTCTAAATTAAAAGATATAGATGAGCATAAAAAGTGTTGATGGTATTGGTTATTTTTGCTCCATTAAAGAGTGGTTTAATTTTACTTTGACATAAATATGATTCTGGCAAATATAACACTTTAAAAGGAACAATAAAGTGGTTAATTTCAGCTTAATGCACACTTTTGACCACGGGAGAGAAGAGAAACACGTCATATCTACCCATACTGATATTGGGACTGTGACGTCAGTACAACTTCAATTTGTCAAATCACGTGATCTTCATGGCCTGCTTGCGGTACCATCTGTCAGAGTACATAGTATAATAGTAGAACCTGCTGAAACTGCTCAGAAGTGAGTAATAATAATCGTATTACCTTTTTACCGCTAGAGTATTTCTACAATCATGACAAAACATATACCAGTACAATATTTCTACATGACAAAACATATACCGGTACGGTATTTTTACAATGACATTACATGTATGGTATTTCGACAATAATGATACAAACACCGTAACGATACTTACAATAACAATACATATACCGATAACGGGTATTTCTACAATGACAATTCACATACTGGTACAGTATTTATACACTTTCAATACATATACCAGTACAGTATTTCTACAATGACAATACATATACCAGTACAGTATTTCTACAATAACAATTCATATACCAGTACAATATTTCTACAATGATAATACATATACCCGTACAATATTTCTACAATGACATTTCATATACCAGTACAATATTTCTACAATGACAATACATATATCAGTACAATATTTCTACAATGACAATACATATACCCGTACAATATTTCTACAATGACCATACATATACCAGTACAATATTTCTACAATGACAATACATATAGCAGTACAATATTTCTACAATGACAATTCATATACCAGTACAATATTTCTACAATGATAATACATATAGCGGTACAGTATTTCAACAATGACAATACATATACCAGCACAATATTTTTATAATTGACGATACATTTATCGGAACGGCATTTTTACAATGACAATATATAAAACAGTATGGTGTTTGCAAAATGACAATATATATACCATTACGGTATTTATACAATGACAATACACATATACATATAACGGTACAATATTTCAACAATGACAAAACATATACAAGTATGGTGTTTGTATAGTGACAATACACATATACCGGCATATATCTAGAATGGCAATGCATATATGTTATTTCTATGCAATGACAACTAAATGTATAAGTTACGTTTTTATAATCCTAGTGATAATAAATGTGTATTGTGTTTTAAAATAATATGTCATTATCTTATTTATAAAAATATTTAATATTTTGTGATAGTGCACCATGTCCAATATCGAATAAAACAATTTCTGATTACCATTTATTTTATCATCTTTTGACTCTACATATTAAAGTTAAATGCATCGTTAAAAGTAAAAAGACACATTTTCTTTCAGAACAACATTCTGTGCTCACGAGCATCGTTTTGTTTCCGGACATGCATCAACTGTGACGTCACACACCGGATGTTAAAGTATTCAATTTAGTTGTTGACATATGCAATAGAAATCACATACGACTTTCTGTGTGCCATTTTTTATGTTTGAAAAATAATAGAAAATAAAAAATAAAACTTGTGTAATTCAGTAATTAATTGTTTACGTGAAATTGTAATAATTGGCGCGAAATTTAAGATATAAGTTGGACACATCTCATTGCTGGTGATATAACAAAATGTTCACCTGAGACAAGCGATGTTTACCGAGGAGAACATTTCATCCTATTATCATCAGTGGATATGACATTTATTTTATTATACCAATTACAAGCTTATACAAATAAATGTTCAAGGTCGAGATCTCAAACATGGCTATATTATAAATAAATCCTATGAGGCATAAAGATAAGACCTATCATTTAGGTAGCAATGAAAACAATTAAGGTAAACGTTTTTTATGATAACACATGGTCGCTGACATCTTAACCTCTTGACCCTCACCTCTGTGGTTTCGAATCTCGTCAAGGAATTCGGATCCTTAATATTATAAAACTATCCAACGTCGGTGATTCCGCTTAGGACCCCAATCATGCATGAATTGGTGCAAAAGGGGCACCTGAGGTTTTCCTCTGCTAGTTTTGGAAAGTTGCATTATATGTAGATAATATTGTAAATATGTTAAGTGAATATATCTATATTCTCATTCTGTTATTTATACATGTAGACTATAGGCCTATATCAGTAAATGTACAGTATGCCCATAAAACTATCCGGCTAGCTTACGGAACATTGGTGGTTCTGCATAGGATCCCGTTCGTGCATGAATTGATGCAGGAGGGACACCTGGTATCTTCCTCTGCTAGTTAAGCTGGAAAGTCGCCTTATATGTAGATAATATTGTAAATATGTAAAATGAATATTTCTATATTATCATTCTGTTATTGAAAATTAAAATAATTTCATAGTGATCTTCTAAATAAAATACCAAGTTTGCTTTTAAGCAGCTAAAAGAGGTATTTTAATGTCGTCATTTAAAGCAGTCTTACACAAATGTTGACACTTATTTTAAAGTGTAATAATCGTATTTCATGTCATGCATGATTTATATTTTGGAAACCAGAATGAAAATGGAGCTCTGTTTCACAAATGTCTTGGTTACAAATCTTGCATTTTTTTAAAAATCTGGTTATATTATAGGTATAGAGCGGTGTCATACCGGTATATGATTATACAGTCACATATATTGATTTATCACACACCCGTGCCGATTATGCGACTTCGTGAAAATGGTATTGCACGGTCGTGCATATATTTTTACGTGACGTCATTAGCGTTATAGAAAAACATACTGTAAAGACGCGATAAAATGTTATCGTTATACTATAGGCGCGTCAATGAAAAATGACTCTTATTTCACTTTAAACGGTCTTTATTTTGGGTATGTAATAAATAGAATTAAGTTCGTGTAAGTTCATTACTTAATTTATTGCACTCGTTGAATAAAATAAGATTATGCTCGCCAGAGGCTCGCATAATATAATTTTATTCAACTCGTGAAATAAATTCAGTATTGAACTTACACTCATTCAATATCCTCTATATATTAGAATGGTTTATGCCTTAAGTGCCATAAGGTGTTATATACGTGCTATTTTTAGGTGTTTAAGTTAAGGGGAGAAAGTTATAGAAACGACAGATATGGTTGACATAATTCTTTAGATCTGAATATTCTTAGAATAAAGAATGTTTGAAAATAACATAATAAAGGATAATTATATTTTAAAACAATGAATACTTATATAGCTTATCGAGCTTCTTCCATGAAAGCCTGTATGCGTTAAGTCAAACATTTCGGACAGTTAAATGAACATTAAACATGTTAAAAGTGTTATGCACCCTTAATAAACAGTTATGACATGTACTATAGATGACAGCGACTTAACTTTAACGTGTGTCAAAATTATATTAAACCTATTCCCAGTGAACCAGGAAGTGTAAATAAACTTCTTTTCCACGAAGTCACACTGATAAAATATTTGCAGAAAAAAGAGGTCAATATATCTGTCGTTTGTACATAATATGTCATTTGACTGTGATTTGATACGCAATGTAAGATTTTATGATTACATGTATATATTTATATATATATATATATATATATATATATATATATATATATATATATATATATATATATATATATATATATATATATATATATATATATATATATATATATCACTAGTCTATCGTGTTTCATTAAACGATTGATCAGATAAATATTTTAAACACTGTTACAATTGGTCTTTATTATCCATATATGTGGCAAAAGTTATTGTAATAACATACTAAATCAGACCTCATACTTTTTGCACGTAACACTCACAGGCGATGGCACACTTGCCGTTGTGTGCCATCGCTTTAATGGTCAAATAATCATAAAATAATCTCCATTTGATCACCAGTCTACTATATACATTTTGTACAACATATATACAAAATTTTTTACCGTGTCGGGAAATACCCTATGGACAGTTACATACCTTGTATATGTTGTTATAAATAGTAAACGAGAACTGGATAGTATTTTTGTCATTGATGATCAAATTATTAAATTACCGGTATTTGATGATAACTTGACCATTAGGCATTTAATTAGTATTGGCAAGATAAATGTGCAGAACGCCTTTGGTTAAACTAAAAGTAATATTTAAGCAACTTATTGTGTTGAAACCAAAAGTTTGATTATTCAAATAAAATTGATTGCAATATTTTTGGGTCATATAAAGATTTGATTTTTATTACTAGATGTGTAGAAAGTGTACAACAATGGTAAAATTATGAAATGTAAAATGAAAAGGCAATACATGTACAGGCAACGCGGGCAACTCGTTGTGTAATAACATATATACAATGACGTTTTAAATATTTCTAACAGAAGGTTTTGTTAAACTGAATTATCAATAATATATAAAAGCAAATAAACCAAAAAAACTTGAATTTTAATAAAAAGACCATAATAGTTCAAATATGCATACATTATTTTAAAATTCAAAACGTTTCTTGCGAATTTGAAATAAACGATATATAAGTTACTTGTAATTTTAAGATACAAAGAGGTGAATGTCATCTTAGCATACAATTTCAATGTGACATCATGATTAAGCACTATTGCATTGAGAGAAAAAAATAATTCAAAATTTGAATTCTCTTTCCATTTTCAGAAATAGACAAAGAAACAAACAAAGAAGGAAGTAATTCAACTAAATAAAGATCAACATTAGGTAAGACATGGAGGTCCCAGGTCGAACACAAAACAGTCCACCAAAAGAAAGTGCAGTATTTTGTCAACCATGTAATAGTGACGGCGAAACGATAGTTGCCATTGGATACTGTCAAAATTGTAACGAGTATTTATGTGCAATATGTCTAAAAGTCCACCGCAAGCAAGCCGTGTCAAGAAATCATATTATTCTGGTTGGTGACAATATGCCCAAAGTATCACTTCCGGTTGTAACGCCAAACGCATGCTCTGAAATATGTACCAAACACGAAAATGAAATAGTTAAATATTTCTGCATGTCACATGATGCCGTGGGTTGTGGAGATTGTATGATCATTGATCATAAATCCTGTAAAGTTGATCGTATACAAGATATATCTTTAGAATATTTCAATGGCACTGAACACCAAAATATCCTAAAGAAGGTAGAGCAGTTTGTGAAAGATATCGATGAAATAAAATTGGAGCTACAAGCCAGCGAAGGAAATACGAGACAAGCATACACACAAGCAATCAAAGATGTCAAAGCATTCAAGAAAGAAATCATCGATTATCTTAATAAGGCAGAAAGAGAAATGCTTGAAATGATAAACGAAAGGAAAAAGAAGAATGAGATGCTGATACAGGAACTAAAACAAGCAGAAAGTCATATTGGAAGAAATATTAAGGAAATACAGACGAAATTACAGCTACAGGTAAACCAAGCGAATGAGTTGTTTGTTGAAGCAAAACAAGTAAAAGCAAAACTTAACGTTATTGACGAAAATCTGAATAGGTTGAAAAAAGACATCAGCATTGATGTATATACATTTCAACATTCTTCTTCCATGGAGCAAATGGTCAAGTCTTGTGTTCCGCTCGGTGACATAGTTGATGGATCAAAGCAAAAGATCGAACAAAAGGCATCAAAACACGATTGTCTTGTTTCTAGCAAAGAAGTAACAGATCAAACTGGTTTAGACAGGAAGAATATTTCTAAAATGGATGCTTATTTTGATTGTGAGATAAACATTAAAACACAAGATGATGCTTCAGATTGCTGTATTAGAAACTGTGCAGTGATTTGCCCAAGTCAGATTATAGTCACTGATGCGAATAATAAATGTGTGAAATTAGTTGATGTCAATAACAAAGAAGTTTCAAAGTACAATCTTAAGTATCGTCCTACTGGTGCAGCAGTAGTAAATCCCAATCTGGTTGCTGTGACATTTCCTGATGATAGGAAGATACAATGTTTGACCATAACAACAGGTAATAAAATCATTGAATGCGATATGATCAATGTCCGTAAAGGTTGTCACAAAATTGCAATCCATGAATATAAGATTATTGGTATAACCGACATTAGTGTTGAGATTATGAGTATGAACGGACAACTGATAAAATCTTTATCTGATCCAAATATGAAAAGGTTAATGGATATTGCTGTCGTACCAAGTTCACAGATGTTTTATGTCAGTAATAGTTCATTGGGGTATAAGGCTGTTTTAAAATTCGATTTTGATGGCAATCTGATAGCAACATACCAGGACAAGGATCTGGTAGATGTGAGAGGATTAGAAGTAACAAAAGACGGTACAGTGCTTGTGTGTAACTGGGCTGGAAATGGCAGTATCCATATGATTACTCCTGACTGTAAAAAGATGAAAGAACTCTTGGAGAAAAATCAACACATTTATTGTCCATATTGTGTTACTTTCTGTAATGAAACAAATAAACTTTTTGTTGGAAACTATGCTTCAAATATTGACAAACAATTTAAAAACGTTTTGAAAGTATTTCAATTAAGGTAGATTTTAATTTCATAAGAAATCAAATGTCTGATGCAAAACAGAAATGGAAAAACAGTAATGGCTATGTTCAAAATATTATTGTTTAGTTGATACTTTAAATAATTGATACAAATGTTTTATAAATAAGAAGGCATTATAATAAAAGACACGTCTTGAAGAGAGAAAGAAAAATGCCAACAAAGACTTTAATTTAAGGATTTATTATTGTTACATACATGTATATACATTGTTAAATATATATTGCATATCTGTATATAATGTTGGACATTTTTATTCAGTGCCTTATTTACCGGTAAGTACTCGTAGGCTTTTATTTGATGAAGAAGACAAAAAGAGTTACAGAAGTATACCTTTCAAGTAGAGAACTTTTGTGAGATACAGAACTTTCCAAATTGGCAGCTGATTTTGGGAGAAGTCATGACCTGATTTCAGTTCTTATATAATCATAAAATCAAACACCTCGCAGTGGTTACTTCCCCTAATCTGAACAGTATCTATGCCGAAGAATGAAGGGGAGATAACTGCATGGTGATTGCTATAAAGTTTTACACGCTTCACAATTATCCCATATCTAACACATATGGCAATCAATAGAGGATATTGAATGAGTGTAGATTCAATATTGAATTTTTTGTACGAGTCAAATAAAATCATATTATGCAAGCCTCTAGCGAGTATAATATTTCTTCATTCAACGAGTTCATATTTACGTCAATAAACCAAATGACTCTAGAAAAATTACTTCTACGCTCAATGTAGTTCAATATAATTTTATCAATTCCTTTTGTTATTGGCATGTTAGAATTGAAATATATATTAATTCTTCATACATGTCATACATCATAATATAATAATGCACGGCGTTTCGTTTAAATGCTTTATAATTAATCAGTCAGGCCTATCAATCTTCATTATCAAATTCCTAAACCTTTAAACTCGAATCGTACATTATTGTACAACAATGAACTCAGTAATTGATATCAATTGCGTAAATAGCACATACCTTGGTATTATATGGACATAAATACCAAACAGATAAGTTCTGTGCATAACAGCCAAAAATAATTATTTACAGTAGAGTTTGGTATTTTTAAACATAATCGTCTAGATATGAATAACAAAATACATTTATCACGCAGGAATGTAATAAAATCTTATAACAAGACATGCCCATGGGCTGAATATCGATCCAACTCGTGTTAATTCAAACCTGATCTCATGGGCTTCAGATCAAGGAGAAGTGTGTATACATAGGTGAGATGTGCGCAAAACATCGTTTTGATACCCAAGGCAAAATATTGACATTGCAACATCCAAGGTGACCTTGACCTTTGACCCTGTGAGATTGACACAAAGTCTGATGATGAACATTTGTGCCTAAAAACTAAATTTATGTTATTTGAAAATGCACGAAGAAGTTCTGACATGCACAAGTTTGGACGTACGCACACACAGACAAACATTTTACAGCCATTTTGACAAAAATCCTCTGACCACTAAGTATTATAATTCAAAGCATAAGCAAGATACAGTGAAGACAAATTTTGATATTTTTTTTACCTTTGGCCTCTTGCGATCTTGACCTTCATTTTGCAAGACAAACTCATCTTACAATTGAAAACGTTTCTTCTAAGTTATATTAAAATATATCTATGTATATAGAAATAATACTCACGAATGAATGTTTTCATTTGCTATTTGACATTTGACCCTGAAGTAAGACTTCGACCATTGCCACAGACACCTAAATTTTTCGTGCGACACTACACCACACTATGAAAAACATATGTCCCAAGTTATATGAAAATCCCGCCACGCATGTAGACGTTATACTCCGGACAAGGGTTTTGCACCAACGACCCATGTGTGACCTTGACCTTTAAGCGGCGGACACGTGTGTTGCGTTTGGCTCACCACCCTATTATGTTGAACATTATATCAAACTCTTTTGTAATCCTTTAAAGAATGAGCAAGATATAGACCGGACAAATAAAATATATGGCAGGACAGACTGACGGGCGCATATACATCAAAAGTAAATGTGGCAGCTTAGTCGACCTGACCACAAGCGGGCTCAACAATTTAAAAATCCTCTGACCACTAAGCATAATACTTAAAATCATAAGCAAGATACAATGCCAACGAACAAATTTTGATATTTTTATTTGACTTTTGACCTCTTGTGACCTTGACCTACATTTTGCGGAAAACAAAAACTCAACTCAACATGGAGAACGTTTGACCTGGAACTTTGACACAGGCACAACAATATTTGGAGAACATTTGTACCAAGTTATATTAAAATCCAGCCACGCATGTAGAAGTTACGCTCCGGGCGCTTCTTTTGCACTGAATCCCAAGTGTGAAATTGACCTTAGCGCAGAGGACCTGGATTTTGTGTGTGATACATCATCCTATCATGGTAAACATATGTTGCAAATTATTTTGTAACCCTTTAAAGAATGAGCAAGACATAGATCGGACAAATCTATACGAACTCTCGGACATAAGGAGTGTAAACATTCGGTATGTATGTATGTGTTTTTTTATCTTTCTGTGGCATGTTTAAACCAGTTAAACTACCACATAAACCTGTCGGTTTATAGGATTTTCTTCTTGAGCAACTAATATTGACGGAATGAAGCTCATTGAGCCCGGACTGACGCACTGACGCACATACGCCGAATTATACGTCAAATGTGATGACTAAGTCGAGCTCACTGCAAACGGGCTCGACAAAAACGATGTTACATTTTATCTTGTCATTACATTGATTTATGTTTATTAAGTGCAGGCCTGATCAATGTAGCTTCATATTTACCCTCAGCTTAATGAGATACCTCATCCTTACATATTGAAATGAAATTAATAGGATGGAATATTTTACCTCTTACTAGTTTGAAAGTGTTAAACAGAGAATCTTTGAATCGAATATATGTTGTAACAGAAACCATCATATATTTTTAACCGATGCAAAATTTCGTTTGAAAATATGAAGTTGTATTCCTTTGAATTGTGCCTATACATTTTGTGAAAACCAACTAATCATGGTGAATGAATGTAACATTTTAGTAGAAAAATATCAATTCACAATTAATATCAAAATAGAGGACGGGTGACTATACGCTTTATTTTAGTTGCCGATATAAACTCAACGGAAAGATGACTTGGAAGGTTTCAGTCTGATGTAATTCATATGTAAAACATAAACAAGATGAACAGAATAAGCATCAGTTCAGCATGATATCTTCTTGTAATTAAGGTGGTTACCTGAATTTGGTGAAAGAGAAATTCAGTCTAAATCATAAAAATTCTTATGTTGTCTTGATAACTTCAAATGTTAAAATACAAAACAAAACAACAGAAAACGTAACATCAGCAGCCTTTAATTTTATAACCTGTAACAAGTCTACACCAATGTGTAATTGTGAGGATTAGACTAAGCCCGTCTCACACAAAACACGGTTGGACACACGATTCCCATACGGTATACTCGGTTATACACGGGTTGACTGGTACGAGTTTTGAGCTCCAACCGTGCTTGTGGTTTAGTTGGCACGAATTAGACTCGAATAAAGCACAAGTATGTACGAATTGAGCACGGATATACTCGGTCAAGCAAGGTTAGAACACGATTTGCATACGAATACATACGACTGTTGTACGGTTCCAAGTACGGTCTTGTACGGTCTGGTACGATTAAACACGACTTTTACTCGATTTACAGGCCGGGTTTACATAGGGTCCCGCCGACTTATGATCGAGTTAGGCTCGAAATATCACACATTTGTGTATGTTTTGATATAAATTAACCCATTTTGATGACTTGGCTTCATTAATTTTCGAAATTTCAACGAAGAACACTTATATATAGATCATTATAATGCTGCACGTTTGTAACGTCGCTTTTCATTGGATAATCGTGACGTTTATATATTTTTATAAACACGGCTGTTGTCGATTTATAAACAAATCTCGCTTTATTCCTCTAAAAATGATGCTTCCTGTATTATAAATTCGTTATAAAGATTGTTGACAGGTTATATGGCCTTATATAAACGGCTGTTTGCAATATAACCCTCGCCTAGCGGCTCGGGTAATATTTACAAACAGCCGTTTATATAAGGCCATATAACCTGTCAACAATCTTAATAACTAATATTAACATCAATACATGAATAAAAAGTGAAGCAATGTAAAATGAATGTGTCTTTTTGTCTGTTGTGTAGCGGTTGCTGGAGGGTCCACCGAGCTGGCATTGGAGTCTGAATCCCTAGGAGACACGGTTATTGCCGGTTGGTCCTCTAGCTTATCAGGGTCAATAAGTTGGAGTGGTCGGTGGGCCTGGATGGCTCTTCTTGTATTCCTTCTATGCGTCCAAAACTTCTTCTTTGGATACATTCTAGTGTGATGCAGCAAGAACTCTTGGTAGGGTGGCAGCAGCTAGTTGTGTTTTTTGTACAGTTCTTGCTGACGTAGAGGCCTTGTTAGACCGTACGAGGCCGTGTGAGACCCTGTATACCCGTATTTTACCGTGTCGGCCATGTATGTTTCGTATATGAACCGTATTGGTCGTATGGCGATCGTATGAAACCGTGTGTGCACTCGTTTGAATCGTACCGTGATCTTGTGACATTCGGGTGTTAATCGGGTGTTGCATGTAGGACTTGGGGACGGTCTCGAACGATTCCATACGATTTATATACGACCTTGATACGGTTGGGCTCACTCGTGGAGTGAAGTTCACATACGGCTGTATATACGGTCTCATACGGTCTCACACGGTCTCTTACGGTCTTGTACGGTCGCTTATACGGTCATACACGGACATGGCATCCGTACCAGTTTTTTAAAAGTTTTAAAAATCATACACGGCTTACACGGATACACTCGAATGGCCCGAGTGTAACTCGGATAACGCTACGGTTAGTTCGGTTGTATGTACGGTTTACACGGGTGGCCAACCGTGTAAGCCGTGTGTCCTGTGTGAGATGGGCTTAAAGTATACTCGTATCACTATTTCATTTCCCAGGTGGCATGTGTCATTCAGCATATATTTTGTAAGATATTAGGGATAGGTAAGTTTCTATGTCAATGAAAATAAACAAATTTACACAACCGAAATGACGCAATTACAATAACAACACCCAGCTCAACTGAACGTGAAATTTGATGATCCGTTTAAAAATGTAGCATAATTAGGTCTACTGTAAATCACTTTATGTTCGTGTTATCTTTATTTCGCGAAAACCCCATTCCCGAATTATTTCGAGTAATTGAAATGTCATGGTACTTTTCATTTCAAAGAGGAAGTATTTTGTTAAACGAATATTCACATTGTGTTGGGTATAGTTAGATATTCACTGAAACATTCAATAAGTTACTAAATAGACATGAACATGTATATACAAATAAAGTTTTGAAGAAATATCCAATTTTAAATATTAGGCTTTTACACAAACATATTGTGCAATAACAGTTAATAATTCACAGCTAAACCGTTTGAAAATTTACCACCCTTTATACTACTATTAATCCGTCATTATTATATAAGAGTTAAAACCCGTGACCAGGGAATGTAAATAACGTCAGTTCTGATTAAATAGATAAAAATGAGTTATCTCTGTCGTTTTTACATACAATATATAATTGTATTTGAAGAATTTGGTCATATGACACAGCAAATAGGCACATGAATCTGCAGGTAAGATTTTTTTGCCTATTATTATGTTACTATTATACTAATATGTTCCTCTTCTTGTTAATTATTTAAAATTATTCTTTAACAACCATTCGCTTTGAAGAAAGTAAGACTTTATTTCTTACACAAGTATTTAATGATTACTTGACCAGTCACCTTAATCGTTTCCCATAGACAAGGAACAATGAAGTGAGTTTCAACAACAACTTTTTGATGGTTATTAACTTCATTGCATATATATACCAATGGGCTACATGTTTCTTGTGCGAAGTCCGTAGTGTTTGTTATTTTTAAGAAAAGGCCATAAGTCTTGAAGTAGAAATTTCATTTGTATATCTGAATGTAAGGTATAAAAAATGTATTGTGGTTGTGAAACGGACAGATTTGGGCTTTTCTGATTTTTATAACTTTATTCAGACAATATATATTGACCCCGTTAAGCAGCCCCTAAACTCATTGAAATATCAGAAAAAATCACATCCTATCGTTTAGTGATAATCGTATATAACTTTGATATCATTATCTTCGTATCAGTTGTTACATACATGTATAATTACATTCTGAATGTTCATATTATACACTGGTTTTAAAAAGTTGAGTTTCACTATTTTATAAGTAATATCTTGGACATAAAATATTTAAACAAAAGTGCGAAATTTTTATTCCAATAACAAAGACCATAATGGCTTAATTCCTTACAAAAGCGTAGATCCAAAATGCTTAAAGGTAACATGCATTAATGAAGACCTGTATTGATAATTATATTGAAGACTACAACTTTTCATAATGATTAAAGCATTTATATATTAAAACTTCTTTTCTCAGTCAACCATACCATGCACAAATTAAACCGTGTATTTTAATATTTTTTTCATTCTTGTTTACAGCAAACAAACACGTGTATCAACAAATAATGTACAGTAGTTTGAACAGTTATCTTTGAAAAAAACATATTGACATGGAGGTCCCTGGTCGAACACAAGACACCTCACCTGATGATAGGATAGGAATGTCTTTTAGTGGAGACGAAGCGGTATTTTGTCAACCATGTAGTGGTGACGGCGATACGATGATTGCCATTGGATACTGTCAAAATTGTAACGAGTGTTTATGTGCAGTTTGTCTAAAAGTCCACCGCAAGCAAGCCGTGTCAAGAAATCATATTATTCTGGATGGTGACACTATGCCTAGAGTAACACTTCCGGTTGTAACCCCAAACGCTTGCTCTGAAATATGTACCAAACATGAAAATGAAATAGTTAAATATTTCTGCATCTCACATGATGCGGTGGGTTGTGGAGATTGTATGATCATTGACCACAAGTCCTGTAAAGTTGATCGTATACAAGATATATCTACAGAATATTTAAATGGCACTGAACACCAAAATATCCTAAAGAAGGTAAAGCAGTTGGTAAAAGATACCGATGAAATAAAAAGGAAGCTACAAGCCAGTGAAGAAAACATGAGACAAGCCTATACACAAGCAATTAAAGATGTCAAAGCATTCAAGAAAAATCATCGATTATCTTAACAAGGCAGAAAGAGAAATGCTTGAAATGATAAACAAAAGGAAAAAGAAGAATGAGACGCTGATACTGGAACTTCAGCAAGCACAAAGTCGAATTGGTAAAAATATTAAAGAAATACAGACGAAATTACAGCTACAGGTAAACCAAGCGAATGAGTTGTTTGTTGAGGCAAAACAAGTAAAAACAAAACTTAACGCTATTGATGAAAACCTGAATAGGTTGAATAAAGACATCAGCATTGATGTATTTGAGTTTCAACATTCTTCCCACATGGAACAAATGGTCAAGTCTTGTGAACCGCTCGGTGACATAGTTGATGGATCAAAGCAAAAGATCGAAAACAGGGCATCAAAACACGATTATCTTGTTTGTAGCAAAGACATAACAGATCAAACTGGTTTAGACAGGAAGAGTATTTCTGAAATGGATGCTTATTTTGATTGTGAGATTAACATTAAAACACAAGATGATTCTTCATATTGCTCGATTAGAAAATGTGCACTGATTTGCCCAAGTCAGATCATAGTCGCTGATGGGAAAAATAGATGTGTGAAATTAGTTGATGTCAATAACAAAGAAGTTTCGAAGTACAATCTTCAGTATATTCCCTCTGTTGTAGCAGTAGTAAATCCCAATATGGTTGCTGTGACGTTTCCTGATAATAAGAAGATACAATTTTTCACAATAACAGCAGGTAATAAGATCAATGAAAGTCACATAATTAACGTTCATACAGATTGTAATAAAATTGCAATCCATGAAGATAAGATTATTGGCATAACCAGCACGCCGAGTGTTGAGATTATGAGTATGAGCGGACAACTGATAAAATCTTTATCTCATCCAAATATGACATGGTTAATGGATATTGCTGTCGTACCAAGTTCACAGATGTTTTATGTCAGTAATAATTCATTCGGGTATAAGGGTGTTTTAAAATATGATTTTAATGGCAATCTGATAGCAACATACGAGGACAATGATCTGGTAGATGTGAGAGGATTAGAAATAACAAGAGACGGTACAGTGCTTGTGTGTAATTGGGCTAGAGATGGCAGTATACATATGATAACACCTGACTGTAAAAAGATAAAAGAACTCTTGAAAGATGATGGACATGTTAGAAGTCCCTGGTGTGTTACGTTCTGTAATGACACAAATAAACTATTTGTTGGAAACTTTGCGTCAAATATTGATAAAAAGTTTAAAAACGCTTTGAAAGTATTTCAATTAAGGTAGATTTTAAATTCATATGAAATCAAATGTCTGATGCAAAATAGAAATGGGAAATTAAGTAATTGCTAGATCATCTATGTTCAGTATATCATTTTAAAGTTAATACATTAAATAATTGATACAAATATTTTATAAAAAAGGCAAGATAATTGTTACATACATGTATAAACATTGTTAAATAAATATTGACTATCTGTATAGAATATTGGACATTTTGATACAATGCATATTTTACCGGTAAGAACTAAATCGCAAGCTTTAATATGAGCGAGAAGACAATATTAGTAACAGTTGTAGTATACCATTTAGGTAAATTATTTTTGTAAGATATAGAATTTTCCAAATTGACAGCTGACTATTACCTGATTTGGGTTCTTATATCACCATAAAATCGAACTCCTCCCAGCGGTTACTTCCCTAAATCTGTGCAGTATATATGTATGTCAAAAATGAAGAGGAGATCATTGCATTGTGATTGCCATAAATTTTAACGCGCTTCACAATTATCCAAAATCAATCAATAGAGGATATTGAATGAGTGTAGATTCAATACTGAATCGTTTTTACAGTCAAATAAAATAATATCATGCGAGTCTCGCGAACCTCTACGTCAATAGACCAAATGACGTCAGAAAAAAATGAACTTCTATGCTCAATGCGGTTCAATATCATTCTATCAATTCCTTTTAATATCAACATGTTAAAATTGATATATATATATATATATATATTAATTCTTCGTGCATCATAATATAATAATGCACAGTTTTTCGTTCAAATGCTTATAATAATCAATTACTAAGGCCTATCAGTCTTCATTATAAAATACTATTGTGACGTCATTCCTTTGTTCTGATCTAACTGTATTTTGTATTTTTAATACAGTATAGGTAGGTGTAAGTCCAATATTAATCGTGTAACACATTAATATGAGAGAGCGTGCCATGTAGTAAAAGAAGCTTGTATGACCACAGAACTTTTTAGAAAATTATCAAAAAATAAATAAATAAATAATAAATAAAATGTTACTTTTTATAAGTAAAAACGAGGAATGCAACCTCTTCCCTTCGCTAATTACGCATTTAACAGAATTTTACGAAAACAACAACAACAACAAAAAGCAATAATTGTTATCTTGCGGTATCACGACTTACCGAAATACCGAAACACTACCGAAATACCGTAATAGCCCTGGAATACACGATAATAGATATAAGAAAGCCGAAATACCCATTAATGATATATTAAAGGAGTCGAAATACTCCCGATACTTCATTCGGGCCTGAATATGGCAGTTTTTCACCAAAATATCATCTAATTACTGCTTTGAAATCGAAAGCAATTTTTTATAATTTGCAATTTGAAATTGCTGATACAGACGACAATCTGCAAGTTATTTATCTTTGTTAATAGCATAGACACTTGGTTTTGGGATAAAAAACCGTTTTGACAAATTTAATTGAATGTAACTACATCGGTAAAGTGACATTTTTAGAATCGAGACATCTACGTTTAAAAATCTTTATATGCAATCAAATTTGATTTCTACACACCTCTCAGACGGGTTTTTATCCCGAAACTTAGTGCCTATGGTTAATTACTAAAAACAACAACAACAACGGCAAATTATTCGTTCTGTAAAGCACATACGATAATTATGACACGAAGTATTTAATTGAGTAATTATTGATTTATTACACCTCATTACTACCAGGTATTTCGGCTTTCTTATATCTTTATCGGGTATTCTGGGGGTATTCTGGTATTTCGGTAGTGTTTCGGTATTTCGGTTAGTCGTGACATTCGTTATCTTGCAATGATTTCTTTGCTTATTTCACGAATTCTATTTTCATGTCTACTGGTTTTTGATTTCCAAGCTCTTAAAATCATACCACTGTTTACGCTTCTCTAGTGAAAGGTAGCGGAGTATCAGTTAAGAAGTGATTTTAATGGGATTGTTTAATTTCTTGACAATCATACCTGATTTGCATCATTGTATGTACGTAATGTTTCAGTTAATTTAGTTTGTTTTTCAAATGAATGTAATAGAGAAAATAAGTTCATCTATTCAAAACAAAAACGGTTAATATTTTTTACATATTTGGTTGACTTTTATATAGCAACGATTCCAGACTCCTGTGGTATGACAAATATCAACTGAAAGAAAATATCATTTTGTTGCGTAAAATTCACACTAATGGCCATTTTCACATAACATTTTAAAGCCGTGATAGTTGAAGTAAAATAAATAAATATATCATTTTAACACTAATCGATGGTCAGTATTAATCCTTCTTAAAAGTATGGTGGCTGTTTTGTGCCATTCGTGTTTTCGCCCCAAAACCCCGCCAAGCGAAAAGTCGCGAATTGTCAAGTTAAAATGGCGGGGTGCGGAGCGAAAATTTGCTAATAACGGGGGCGCTGGGCGATGTTTAATAAATAAAACTGCGCCCCACAGGGGCGCTGAGCGAGATTTAAGAAATAAAACGGCGGGGCACGAAGCGAAAACACGCTTATTAGCGCCCTCGCTAATTAGCATGTTTTCGCTCTGCACCTCCGCCATTTTAACTTGTTAATTCTCGACTTTTTTTTTGCTTGGCGGGATCGCGGGGCGAAAACACGCTTATTAGCGGGGGCGCGGGGAGAAATTCTATTTGTTAAACTTCGCCCCACGCCTCCCCTAATGTGCGTGTTTTCGCTCCGCGCCCCCGCCCTTTTATTACTTAAATCTCCATTTTGACAACCATGTCGAGCTCAGTACAAGCGGGCAAACATAAGCAACATACAGTTCATCAAACAAATTTTAATATTTTGATTTGACCTTTGACCTCTTGTGACAATGGCCTTAATTTTGCGCAAGACTCAAATCAATAAGTAGATCATTTGTGATAAGTTATATTTAAATGGTTTTGCGCTGACCCCCAAGTGTGACCTTGAAATCTGAGCGGCTGCCCTGTGTTTTGTGTGTAACACATCACCCCATCATGATAAACATATGTACCAAATTATTTTGTATGATATAGACCGAACAAATCTATACAATCGCACAGACGCACAGACGGAAGTGTCAGCGTTTGGGGTTCATGTGCTTTTTCTTTGGTCTTTATGTGGCATTTTTCCCAGAAACTAGTAAAATTACAACATTAAGCAGTCGGTTTATGAGATTTCCTTCTTTCTTAATTAAGATTATGGACGGAATGCAGCTTATAGACCATTGGATGTTTGTGCCCGAACTGTCGCACGGAGGTACCTACACCGACATGTACGTCAAAATTGACGACTTAGTCGAGCACACCGCAAGCAGGCTCGACAGAAACGTATATAACACTTTATCTTGTCATTACATTGATATCCTAAGGAAGGTAGTGCAGTATGTTAAAGATATGGATGAAATAAAAAGCGAGCTACAAGCCAGCGAAGGAAACATGAGAAAAGCCCATTCACAAGCAATTAAAGATGTCAAAGCATTCAAGAAAGAAATCATTGATTATCTTAACAAGACAGAAAGTGAAATGCTTGAATTGATAAACGAAAGAAAAAAGAAGAATGAAGTTCTGATACAGGAACTACAGCAAGCAGAAAGTCATACTGGTAGAAAAATTAGAGAAATGCAGACGAAATTACATCTTCAGGTAAACCAAGCGAATGACTTGTTTGTTGAGGCAAAACAAGTAAAAGCACAACTGAACGCTATTGATGAAAATCTAAATAAATTAAATAAAGACATTAGCATTGATGTATTTGAGTTTCAACGTTCTTCCCACATGGAGCAAATGGTCAAGTCCTGTGTACCGCTCGGTGACATAGTTGATCAAACAGAACAAAAGGTCGAACAGGGGGTATCCAAACATGATTGTCAAATTTCTAGTAAAGAAGTAACAGATAACACTGGTTTAGACAGGAAAAGAATTTTTGAAATGGATGCTTATTTTGATTGCGATATTAATATTAAAACACAAGATGATTTTTACGACTGCTTTGTTCAAAATTGTGCATTAATTTGCCCAAGTCAGATTATAATCATTGATGAGAAAAATAAATGTTTAAAATTAGTTGATGTCAGTAACAAAGACGTTTCAAAGCACACTCTTAAGTATTGTCCCACTGGTGTAGCAGTAGTAAATCCCAATCTGGTTGCTGTGACATTTCCTGATGATAGGAAGATACAATTGTTTACAATAACAACAGGTAATAAAATCATTGAAAGCGACATGCTCAGTGTCCATACAGGTTGTAAGAAAATTGTAATTCATGAAGATAAGATTATTGGTATAACCAATACGAGTGTTGAGATTATGAGCATTAGCGGACAACTGATAAAATCTTTATCTCACACAAAAAAGGATCGGTTAATGGATATAGCTGTCGTACCAAATTCACAGATGTTTTATGTCAGTAATGTTTCATCTGGGTATCGTGGTGTTTTCAAATTCGATTTTGATGGCAATCTGATAGCAACATACCAGGACAAGGATCTGGTATATCCGAGAGGAGTAGAAGTAACACGAGACGGTACAGTGCTAGTGTGTAACTGGGCTGGCGATGGTAGTATCCATATGATTACTCCAGACTGTAAAAAGATCAAAGAACTCTTGAAAGAAAATCAACACGTATATTCTCCATATTGTGTTACTTTCTGTAATGAAACAATTCAACTTTTTGTTGGTAACTTTGCTTCAAATATTGACAAAAAGTTCAAGAACACCCTGAAAGTATTTCAATTATGGTAGATTTTAATAACACAATGATATTAATTGTCTGGTTTAAAACTGATATAGCAAAACTGAAATGACTATATTCCAAATATCATGTTTTACATATTCAAAATGTTTATGAATAACAAGACACGCTAATAAAATCGTATCGTCTGAACAGGGGAAAAACGTACATTCAAGAATTTATTATTGTTAGATACATTATGAAAATTGATAAATAAATATTGTATAGCTGTATATTATGTTAGATTTTTATCATACAAACAATATCATATCATACATACTTACCGGTAAGTCATCATATGCTTTTATTTGATTAAGAAGACAAAGTGTGCGCTTCAAAAATATATTCAGAAATGAATAAGATACAACAATACACTTTCATAGGCCAACGATAATCAATATCCAAAGGTTGTCTTAAATGCAACTTTTTAGACATGTACTCACAACTTGTTAATAGCCTAACCATATGAAGAATGAGTATGGCAATTTCAAACTGTTAAACTGAAATAAAAGAAAATCAAAGGGTTGCAAGCTCTGTGGTATTGTCTGATCTCGTACTGTATATCTGTATGTTTTTTCCTGTAAAAGTTTATTTTTATATACTATAATTCACCTTGTAGGGCACCGAGATGCAGCGACTACGTTTGGATGTTTTACTTTAACAGTTTGAGTTTGATACATACGGAATTTTGCATGACTATAGAGTTGCATCAAAAATAATTTATGTTCATTTTTTTATGACAGCCACACTTTATCCTTTTATCCTTGCATTACGTGGCTACTTCCTTAAATAAGACACTTAATTGAACCCCAGACCTCTCACACCCTACACGAGCGCGTTACCCCTGCACCACGAAGAAGTTTAACGACAACAAACTGAATAAAATCAAATAATTCTAATTTTAGAATATCCATGCTTATTAATTTCGAGGTATTTTGTTCACGATATACCTGTTGTTTAACATTGATGTAAATAATTTAGCGAAAATTTTCTCACAAAAACAGTCCGACATGTATATATTCCACTACTCGACAGTCAGATTTATTTGTGTAATACGCTCTGATGTATTCGGTAATCGACATCGCTAAAAATAGCAATTTCATTGATCAAAATCATATTCATCGACAATTCTATAAGCCAACGCTACTTTTAAACTTTGAATGCGTTGTAATTTGTTTGATACTTGTAACAAAATAAAAATATTTCTTTCTTTTACATCGCTAGTTTTAAGCTGTTTTGAGAACTACTTGTTGTTAGGTTTCTCTGTGTCAGAGATTGAATGTCAGCATTGAATTTCCTGATCTGCGATCAGAAAATACATAAACTATATAATACTTAATTTCTTTATTCAATTATTCAGTTACTTTTTTACTATTCATTTTAACAGAGGAAATATATACTCAGATAAACTTTAACTAAACTATCCTCAAGTAGACTTATATAAGACTTTTCTCAGATAAACATACACTGAACTCTCTTCAGATATACTGACACTAAATGCTTACACTAAATTTTCCTCAGATAAACTTATATAAAACTGCCCACAGAAAAACTTATACTAAATTCTTCCTCAGATAACATACATTAAACCCTCCTTAAATAAATTTACACTAAATTTTCCTCAGAAAAAACTTACACCACTCTCCTAAGATAAACTTACACAAAAACTTTCCTCAGATGAACTTACATTTTTCTCACCTCAGATAAATTGACACTAAACTATTCTCAGATAAACTTAGACTAAACTGTACTCATATAAACCTACACTAAACTCTTCTCAAATAAACTTTCTCTTAACTTTCCTCAGATAAGCTTACACAAAACTCTCCTCAAATTAACTTAAACTGCTCTCCTAAGAAAAACTTACACTAAGCTTTCCTCAATAAACTTAAACGCCTCTCCTTAGATAAACTTACATTAAAATTTCCCTAAGATAAACTTACACTAAACTCTTCTTCAGATAAACATACATTTTACTCTTCTCAGACAAACGAACATTTAACTCTGCTGAGATAAGCTAATCTTTCCTCAGAAAACTTAAAACACTAAGATAAACTTACACAAACCTTTCTTCAGATAAACTTAAATTAAACACTCCTCAGCTAAACTTACTCTAATGTCTCCTCAAATAAACTGACACTAAACTATTCTCAGATAAAGTTACACTTAACTCCCCTCATAGAAACTAACACTTAACTCTTCTCAGATAAACTTTCTCTAAACTTTCCTCAGATAAACTGACACTACTATCCTCAGATAAACTTTCTCTAAACTTTCCTCAGATAAACTTACACTACTATCCTCAGATAAGTTTACTCTACACTTTCCTCAGATAAACTTACATTACACTATTCTCAGATAAACTTACACTAACTTTCCTAAGATAAACTTACGTTAAACTCTCTTCAGATAAACTTACAAAAAACTCCCCAACATGACTGATTTTTAAACTAGCAGATTTTATTACATTGAGACTATATTATTAAAGACTACTCACTCTGATAATATGAAAAGATATTCAAAGGTAGAACAGACAATATGTAAAGCCAGTACGGATTAGGATTTATGCGCCGCAATAAATTGTTCATTTGTAATTTTGCCGTTTCGTCCGAAGTTTGCACTTTCATTTTTGTTTTCAACTACAAGAATAGTAAACATAAACAGTTAAATGGGCAGGATGCTAAAAATTATATTTCTAGTTCATTTTCTCTTTTATAGCAGTAGCTTTAATAATTACATATTCAATATTCGAGGAATTTTACAAATGCATTTTACATGTAGCAAAAAGATCGAAACAAATGTCCATTTTTTTGTCACCATCTTCCGAGGGATGTCGTTTTCTCAGAATTCTTTTTGTTACAAGACAGAAACAAAGAAAAGATCAGAGAAACTTTATTTATTGAGATGTAGTTCATGTGTTTGTCTTTTAACACTTTTATGTGTATAAGGATTGGTATATACAGTAGTTATTTATTAAAAAAAAATCATTTTTTGGTTAATCGATAACATAACATATGAACATAACAAATCTTTGAACAAGACCATCCAGCAGAGAGACTGAAATGGCCTAAATAGACAAGTGATTTTTTTATTTGGACGAAACTCTGTTCAATTTATGCAATGACGGTTTGTCGCAGATTTGTCATTATTCACTGCGTGATCTTTATTTGGAGGTGGTCATTTACACCGGTTTGTCTGTATACAGTAGTTATAAATTTTACCTCTATACAGTTAATCAATCAAATAGTTTTTCTCATGCACTAAATTTTTGATGATATAAATAAGCTGTAAATATATTTGGAACTGAACCGTCTAGGTCAAAACAATGTTCAGACATTACTTTAAATCAACTGGTTATCACATTATATTAAACAAAATCAACTTTCTATTTCTTGGCAAGATAAGACCAACACTGATGTCTTTTGTAAAACTGCTACTACTACATATGCACATACCCGCCAGGTATGATTAACTAAAATCTAACTTCACAAATCTAGAAACGTCAAATGTTGTATATAGCGATTTGATATTAACAATTGTCTTCATAAGGAACTAGCATACTACTTCTACAACTCTTTTGTTTTCAATTACAGGCGCTGCCAGCTCGATAACATGTAGCCATTCTAGATCCAGAGAGTTATTTATAGAATCTATAAATTCCAAATGTAAATTTTACGCTCATACTTGCCCCAGCGGCGACTCGTTTGAAGCAGGGGATTGGCCGGCGGCTGTCCTGTCATGGGATACGATGCCGACCAACAGAGTAGTCTAAGGGGGTCTTTCTATCTCAGCACTTCAGGTCAAGCACCGTATTGTGGTAAGTCAAATGAAACTAAAAACAAAATAACAAAAACCTAGTACAATTGTTAAAGGTTTATTTCTGTATTATAGTCAAATATCTATGATATAACATTAAATAAGTTGCTCACATATTAATTCCGGCAAAAATCCACATACTTTCTATCTTCAAGCGTATACCGACTGTCTTTGGTCAAACTTCTGCAATTTAGATTACTTGAAAACTTAAAAAACTCTTTGATTTTTGTTTTATTTCAAACAAGCGTATGCATTATGATTATTCTAAAAGTCTACATGTAATTTTTATCTAGAAGAAAATTAATAGGAGAAATAATTGGTAGATTATTTTGATCATGAATGTTTTGAATGACTATAGGTCATGAGTATTTTATTGATATCAAGATGGCGGACAGGATGTTTCACACGTATGGAGAGTTTATTATAACTCTGATAGGAACTAACGGAAAGTCTGAGCCACTAAAGTTTGAAAGGTAAGTCAAACCTTCTAAAACGTTTTTTAATAGATCTGTATTAACCCAGCCAGCATCACTATATCGGGCCGATATAGGATTAATGTCGGCATGTCGGCAAAATATGCCGACTATTGGCCGACGTCGGGCCGCTGCAGTGCCGACATATTGAGTATTTTGAAAAATTCTAATTGCAATGCCATTGTTTACTTAATAATGTGAATAAATTGTCCTTTGTATGATTTCAATTACTAGAACAATATTAACCACATTTCGTGTAAGATCAAAAAAGATACATCGGGTCTGCGTCGGGCCTACATGACCTATCAATGCAAGTATTTTGTATATCGGATTGACATCGGTACGATATTGCGTTTTCTGTTGAATTGAAAATCATGCAGCAAATAATTGTAAATTTTGATATGAATTTCTAAAATAATCATAGTTGAGTTTGGAAATGATATGTGGTTTGTTATTAAATTCAATATTTACGTTTTGACTACATAAAATCACTCTTTTATTATATCTTAAATGAAAAGCTTGAAAATATTCACTGCAGTCCTACAATTAACAGATTAAGCGCCAAAAAGAAAAGCTAACAAAGGAAGGTGATGAAAAGCATGTTTTTTTATTAATGTAATGATGATTCAACAAATCTGTAAACGCTGTTAATAATTTGATTTTTACACTTAAAACTATTGGAAAAACACAATTTATCTGTTTGCCTCTTTTTTAGATGTAAAATTATGTTTGAAAATATTTGTCACATAATTTCGCTGCATGCATTATCATGGTAGTGATTGTCATTTGCACATTTAAGTTAAAATATGTGTCTTTATTGTCTAATTTTGTAGAATAATTATCTTTTATTTTGTGTTTTTGCAGGTTGTGCCAAATGCTTGCTGCTAGATGTCATCGACATGCTAGCATAAGGATGATACCTGGTCGATATAGGACCGATATCTTTCTACTGTTGGCTGACATCGCACCGCCATTGTTTTGATGTAGGCCCGATGTCGGCAAGAAATATCGGGCCTATATCGTTAAGATGTCGGCCCGATATTGTTCTGCCGATGTCGGGCCAACATCATTCCTATTTGCAGCCGAGGTTAAAGCCGACATCGGGCCGTCATAGAAAACCATGTCGGTTTGATGTCGGGCCGATATAGAATGTTGGCTGGGAAGAGCTTGCATGACATGACAAACTTACATTATTCTATGTTAAATAAATGTGTTTATTTAAAAATATAGTTGTCTAAATTAAAAGATATAGATGATCATAAAAAGAGTTGTTGGTATTGGTTATTTTGCTCCATTAAAGAGTGGTTTAATTTTACTTTGACATAAATATGATTCTGGCAAATATAACACTTTAAAAGGAACAATAAAGTGGTTAATTTCAGCTTAATGCACACTTTTGACCACGGGAGAGAAGAGAAACACGTCATATCTACCCATACTGATATTGGGACTGTGACGTCAGTACAACTTCAATTTGTCAAATCACGTGATCTTCATGGCCTGCTTGCGGTACCATCTGTCAGAGTACATAGTATAATAGTAGAACCTGCTGAAACTGCTCAGAAGTGAGTAATGATAATTTCATTACTTTTTTACCAGTAGAGTATTTCTACAATGACAAAACATAAACCGGTACGGTATTTTTACAATGACATAACATGTATGGTATTTCGACAATAATGATACAAACACCGGTATGATATTACCAATACATATTCTGATAACGGGTATTTCTACAATGACAATACATATACCGGTACGGTATTTCTACAATGACAATACATATACCGGTACGGTATTTCTACCATGGCAATACATATTCTGATAACGGTATTTCTACGATGACAATACATATACCAGTACAGTATTTCTATATTGACATATACCAGTGCGTTATTCTACAATAACATATATACATACACCGGTACAGTATTTCAACAATGACAATATATATACCATTACGATATTTAAACAACTGACGATACATTTATCAGAAGGGTACTTATACAATGACAATATATAAAACAGTATGGTGTTTGTAAAATGGCAATACATGTACCATTACGATATTTATACAATTGACGATACATTTATCCAAAGGGCATTTTTACAACGACATTATATAAAACAGAATGGTGTTTGTAAAATGACCATACATGTACCATTACGATATTTATACAATTGACGATACATTTATCGGAAGGGCATTTTTACAATGACAATATATAAAACAGTATGGTGTTTGTAAAATGACAATATATATACCATTACGGTATTTATACAATGACAATACACATATACATATATAACGGTACAATATTTCAACAATGACGAAACATATACCAGTATGGTGTTTGTATATTGACAATACACATATTCATATACCGGTATATGATTTCTAGAATGGCAATACATATATTGTATTTCTATGCAATGACAACTAAATGTAAAAGTTACATTTTTTTATATTCCTAGTGATAATAAATGTGTATAGTGTTTAAAAATAATATGTCATTATGTTATTTATAAAAATATTAAATATTTTGTGATAGTGCACCATGTCCAATATCGAATAAAACAATTTCTGATTACCATTTATTTTATCATCTTTTGACTCTACATATTAAAGTAAAATGCTTCGTTAAAAGTAAAAAGACACATTTCCTTTTCAGAACAACATTCTGTGCTCACGAGCATCGTTTTGTTTCCGGACATGCATCAACTGTGACGTCACACACCGGATGTTAAAGTATTCAATTTAGTTGTTGACATATGCAATAGAAATCACATACGACTTTCTGTGTGCAATTTTTTGTGTTTGAAAAATCATAGAAAATAAAAAATAAAACTTGTGTAAGTCAGTAATTAAATGTTTACCTGAAATTGTAATAATTGGCGCGAAATTTAAGATATAAGTTAGACACATCTCATTGCTGCATGGTGATATAACCTGAGACAAGCGATGTTTACCGAGGAGAACATTTCATCCTATTATCATCAGTGGATATGACATTTATTTTATTATACAGCAGGTTAAGGCAACTTCCTTCTTCAATCAGTGGAAACATATTTTCTCCTCTGGGCCTACTGATCTTGGTTCTACTGACTTGGTCGAACATGAAATCAATCTGTCTGATCCCACACCACCTTTTAAAGACCCTTATCGCCGAATACCACCAGGGATGTTTGAGGAGGTACGTGAGCATTTACGAGACATGATTTCGGCAGGAGCGATCCGTGAGTCCAAGAGTCCTTTTTCTTCTAATGTTGTGCTAGTAAGAAAGAAGGACGGGTCTTTGCGTTTTTGTATCGATTACCGGAAACTGAACAACCGTACAATCAAGGATGCTTATGCCCTTCCTCGCATCGACGAAACTATAGATTCTCTCATAGGTTCCACTATTTTCTCTAAACTCGACCTACGCTCAGGTTACTGGCAGGTCCCAGTCAAAGAATCTGATGAGCAAAAGACTGCCTTTAATGTTGGGCCTCTCGGATTCTATGAGTGCAACAGAATGGCTTTTGGTCTTACCAATGCCCCTGCAACGTTTCAGCGTCTGATGGAGCGTTGTATGGGCGAACTTCACCTTCGTGACACAAGCTTATACAAATAAATGTTCAAGGTCGTGATCTCAAACATTGCTATATTGTAAATAAATCCTATGAGGCATAAAAGTAAGACCTATCATTTAGGTAGCAATGAAATCAATTAAGGTAAACGTTTTTTTTATAATAACACATGGTCGCTGACTTCTGAACCTCTTGACCCTCACCTCTGTGGTTTCGAATCTCGTCAGGTTATTCGAATTAAAAAAAAAAAATCTGAATATTGTTCTGCTTAGGATCCCGTTCGTGCATGAATTGATGCAGGAGGGGCACCTAAGGTCTTCCTCTGCTAGTTTTGGAAAGTCGCCTTATATGTAGATAATATTGTAAATATGTAAAATGAATATATCTATATTCTCATTCTGTTATTGAAATTTAAAATAATTTCAAAGTGATCTTCTAAATAAAATACCAAGTTTGCTTTTAAGCAGCTAAAAGAGGTATTTTAATGTCGTCATTTAAAGCAATCTTACACAAATTTTGACACCTATTTAAAAGTGTAATTATCGTATTTCATGTCATGCATGATTTATATTTTGGAAACCAGAATGAAAATGGTACTCTGTTTCACAAATGTTTTGGTTACAAATCTTGCAATTCTTTTAAAATCTAGTATATTATTATAAACCTTTACCCCATAGATGACAGCGACTTGATTTTAACGAGTCAAAATTATATTAAACCTACTCCCAGTGAACCAGGAAGTGTTTGATAAAAGAGAGGTCAATATATCTGTCGCTTGTACATAATATTTCATTTGCCTTGATTTTATAGGCAATAAAACTGCAGGTAAGATTTTATACTGAAATGAATTCATATATCACTAGTCTTTCACGTTTTCTGTAAATCAATATGTAATAGTTATAGTACATGAAACGAGACAGTTACGAGGATATAACACTAGCTGGGGCCACAGACACTTGGAGTATGGACCCCGCCCTTCACTGCCCCTGAATAATAAAAACTAAAAGGATTGTTTATTACAAGAATTAGTTTTAAATTTTTGCTTATATTAGTATGAGACGGTTAAGTGTCTAAAAATTGAACAACTTTGAATAGAATTTCATAACGTTTTAAAAAAGTCAATTTTTACCAACGCTTCAATTTCCTGAAGATACCAAGCTTCGAAATGTAAACACAACTGACCTACATATATATTTCAAGTATTTATGTTATCGCATGCCATTTATTTCTGGTGTAAAGCAGTCGATATAAATATTCTTTTAATAAATAAATGCATGTTATTATCCGATCGTACCTTTTTTCCAAACTTTGCATATCTAATTACATTTTCCTAACCGCGTCACATGCTTCTTTACGAATTCATGATGCTGATTCAAGATTAAATGGCTTTTTTTTCAGTGGAAATAATTCATTCAGCAGATGTACCTTTTGATTAAATGAGAGTAAATTTCATTTCATAAATTATCTTTGTTTATATTTTTCATTGTATTTATTTATTTATTTATTTTATTTTATTAATTCCTTTTTATTTGCTTCTAGAAATTTTCGTTACCACTGCCCCATTGGAGCCTCTATGAAAAAAAACATTGATATACAAGGTGCTATTTAGCAGTCGTTTTTTTTCCTATGTGAATCAATAAAAAACCTGTACTGCTATATATCAATACAGTTTTCAAATGCTCATTGAAGTGTACCGAGTATAATGGTTTAGTAAGAACAAAGGCAAATTTCCAAACCATGCGATAATAGTAAATATCAGATAAAATCGTACTTTATTGTCCATGTATATGTTGCCTTTATCTTTATACGCAAGTTATTGATATAACATACTAAATCATACCTCTTACTTTTTGCACGTTAAACTCAAATTAGTATAAAATAATCTCCCATTGATCATCAAGATAAGCACCTGTTGACTATATTTAGCATAATGACCGTGTCGGGAAATCTCTACGGCGAATTATAACCTTGTGTATGTTACACATAGTAAACCGGTACTGGATTATATTTTTGATGTTGATGATCAAGGGGAGGTTACCGGTTTTTGATGATAACTTGACCATTATTGGCAAGATAAATGTGCTGAACGCCTGTGGTTCAACTAAAAGTAATATAAAGCAACAAACTGTGTTCAAACTCAAAGTGTGATTATTCAAATATAAAATTAATTACAAACAAACAAACACAAACTTGAATTTCAATAAAAAGACCATAATTATGGTTCAATTATTCATAAATTATCTAAAATTTAAAGCATATATTGCTATAATGAAATGAATGAAATGAGTTTCTTGGAATATTAGTGATCCAGTCACGAAAAGAGGTGATTGTCATATAAACATGACTTCATGATTTAGCACGATAGCATTGAAAAAATTCAAACATTGTAATTCTCTTTCCATTTTTCAGAAATAGATAAAGAAACAGACACAGAAGAAAGTGCGTCATGAAAAAAGTAATTTGACTAAATAAAGGTCAACATAATGTAAGACATGGAGGTCCCTGGAAGAACACAAGACAGTCCTCCAAAAGATAGTGCAGGGAGGTCTTTGAGTGGAGAAAGAACAATATTTTGTCAACCATGTAGTAGTGACGGCGATACGATAGGTGCCATAGGATACTGTCAAAATTGTAATGAGTATCTATGTGCAGTGTGTCTAAAAGTTCATCGCAAGCAAGCCGTGTCAAGAAATCATATTATTCTGGACGGTGACAATATGCCTAAAGTTACAATTCCGGCTGTAACCCCAAACGCTTGTTCTGATATATGTACCAAACACGTAAATGAAATTGTAAAATATTTCTGCATGTCACATGATGCGGTGGGTTGTGGAGATTGTATGATCATTGATCATAAATCCTGTAAAATTGATCGTATACAAGATATATCTACAGAATATTTCAATGGCACTGAACACCAAAATATACTAAAAAAGGTAAAGCAGTTTGTTAAAGATATGGATGAAATAAAAGGGGAGCTACAAGCCAGCGAAGGGAATACGAGACAAGCATACACACAAGCAATTAAAGATGTCAAAGCATTCAAGAAAGAAATCATCGATTATCTTAACAAGGCAGAAAGTGAAATGCTGGAAATGATAAATGAAAGAAAAAAGAAGAATGAGATGATGATACAGGAACTACAGCAAGCAGAAAGTCGTATTAGAAGAAATATTAAAGAAATACAGACGAAATTACAGCTACAGGTAAACCAAGCGAATGAGTTGTTTGTTGAGGCAAAACAAGTAAAAGCAAAACTTAATGATTTTGAAGAAAATCTGAATAGTTTAAAAAAAGACACCAGCATTGATGTATATGAGTTTCAACGTTCCTCCCACATGGAGCAAATGGTCAAGTCTTGTAGACCACTCGGTGACATAGTTGATCAAACAGAACAAGAGGTCGAACACGTGGTATCAAAATACGATCATCTTGTTTCTAGCAAAGAAGTAACAGATCACACTGGTTTAGACAGGAAGAGCATTTCTGAAATGGATGCTTATTTTGATTGTGAGATTAACATTAAAACACAAGATGATTCTTCAGATTGCTTTATTGCAAGCTGTGCATTGATTTGCCCAAGTCAAATTATAATCATTGATGAAAACAATAAATGTTTAAAATTAGTCGAGGTCAATATCAAAAAAGTTTCAAAGTACAAAGTTAAGAATATTCCCACTGGAGTTGCAGTAGTAAATCCCAATCTAGTTTCTGTGACATTTCCTGGTGAAAGGAAGATACAATTTTTCACAATAACAACAAGTAATAAGATCATTGAAAGCGATATGATCATTGTCAGTACAGGTTGTAAGAAAATTGCAATCTATGAAGATAAGATTATTGGTATAACCAGCACGAGTGTTGAGATAATGAGCATGAGCGGTCAACTAATAAAATCTATATCTAACCCAAATATGGTATGGTTAATGGATATTGCTGTCGTACCAAGTTCACAAATGTTTTATGTCAGTAATGGTTCATTGGGGTATAAGGCTGTTTTCAAGTTCGATTTTGATGGCAATTTGATAGCAACATACCAGGACAAGGATCTGGTAGATGTGAGAGGATTAGAAGTAACAAGAGACGGTATTGTGCTTGTGTGTAATTGGGCCAGTTCTGGCAGTATTCGTATGATAACTCCTGACTGTAAAATGATCAAAGAACTCTTGAAGGGTGATAGACATGTTAGTTATCCATATTGTGTTACCTTCTGTAATGAAACAAATAAACTTTTTGTTGTTAACAGTCACTATAACCTTGACAAGAAGTTTAGAAACGTGCTGAAAGTCTTTCAATTAAAGTAGATTTTATTTCCACATGACATGTTGTATTTTTTTTAAAAATGACTCTGAAAATATCGTTAAATTGCAATGTCATAATTTTTATCTGAATCATATTTGCAATTATTTATAAAATTTTCCGTGAAAGATAAGAGGATATATGTTTACAAAAAAAGCAATGACAAATTTGTCAAAATTAAATGTTTCACACAATTTACCTTAAATATAATGTTTCACAAGGCACTGACTCGGACCAAATTTGTCACAGAGCTCTTAAAGCTGTGATTACAGCAAAATGTTTCATTAATCGCTGAAAGTTTTGACCAAATCAAATCACTGGTGAAAGCCTGACAACTATTTTCTTTTAGACAAACTATTTGAGAAGCACTTAATATGGCCAAATCAAATGTTTCTTTCAGCACTGACAGTTTAGTCCAAATTTGATAGACTGTTGTCTATTTTGTTGTATTACACTGATCATTTGTTTCACAAAGAATTGTTCGTTTCATCTACATCAATCGTTTGAACCACACAATGTGGTTTTATCTGATATGTGATGCCTTGAGAAGAACATGTTCTCTTTTCTGTTTGCCTGGTTTTGAAGAAAGACTCTTCTTAGTTTTATCACTAGCAGCACTTGCAACCATTGTTAAGTCATAGATACAAAAAAATGTTTCGTGCCTTAATTATGATATAATAAGACTTATGCATAAGTAAAACACGAATACGAAAATAGAGTAGGAAGCAACATTGAAATTTATTTTTACTCAAAAGATGAACATGGTTTGCCCCGCATGAGGATTACCACGCCATATTTAAATAATTATACAGTACAAATACTAATTCATTTTGCAGCACTTTTACATTGCAAATTGCAAGTTTCATAAAATTAATCCAAGAACATTATGAATTATCACTGGATTCAGTTTTTTTTAAACTTACGGAGAGCAAACCTATAGTTTCACCGAGGAATTGGTAGGGAACTAGTAAACTCAGATTGACAGCTGATTTTGTGGTAAGCCATGCATGGCCTGATATCATTTTATACTCCTTTGACCATACAATACAACATACATATAATTTCAATGTACACAGTCATATATCAGCAATTCTATGGTTTCTTTATTTAATAAAATAATTTACAGCTATTTGTACAGGATGTCAACATGATATAATATGATGATTGATTGAATTATATAATTATTTTGGTATTAATCAAATCATGTTGCATGTTTTGAATGATATAGAAATGTTACATATTCCTGACTTTAACATGTTTAATAAAACAAGAGCCACCGCGGGGCAGGGGCAACCCTTGACATTTTACTTTTCCTGCAGGCAAACAAATAGATGGTTTAAAGAAACCTTTTAAAAAGAAGTTTATGTTTTCATTTTTTATTTCATTAGATCTGCCTAGTCACACTTCAAGTTGTTGTTTTGTCCAAGTTGGAATCATTTCCATAAATCAATGACAAAGTTAAGAAAATATAAGCAAAATTCAATCATCTGACCTTGATAGTCAATGTCTTTTAAGAGAAAGGTCATATCTAAATTATTCATCATTTCCGTTTGGTCAAGGTCACATTAAAATTATTTAATATGCTTGTTTGGTAGCAAGTCTTGTTTTGTTCAAGCATAAATCAAATTCGTACCGTACATAAATTAGCAAAATTATGACAATTAACAAATATTCAATAATTTGACCTTGACTGTCATTGTCATTCGAAGCTGAAATTCAAGGTCAGTTCAACCTTTCAGAAGATCTTGACCAAAAGGTTGTTTTGTCCCCAATATGAAAAAAATCAAATAAAATATGAAACTACAGTCAATAAATTCAATGATTTAATCTTAAAGGTAAAGGTCATTGATGAGGCAAAGTCAATTCCAGTTAATATACATAAAGTTCTTATCCCAAGGAATCTTGTTTCCTAATATAAGGACAAAACATCTATTAATTAACAAAGTTACAGTCAGTTACAGCAAAAACAGATAAATTTTTAAAATTTAAAAAATAGCCTTCAGAGTCAAGATCATTTATGAGTGAAGGTGAAGGGTCAAGGTCTGTCTGGTTTACTTAATTGTTTGTCCTAAAAGATTATTGTGTTGGAGTTTGAAGATAATCCATTCAAAAATAACAGTTGTAGTCACTTAAAGCAAAACCCAAGCACAATTAATAAATTTCATAAAGGTCAAATAGAGAAAATAAGAAACCCTAAAGAAAGCCCAACACGGCAAAATTGAAAATACTGCAGGCTCGGTTTGATTGAGCCTGTTGACGGTACTGTCAAGTGGAAACTACTTTCCACTCCCTTTAGCACCGGCTTAAGCAGAATTCATACATTTAACAAAAACTGGTACAATTTTGAATTTTGAAACATCCGCATATGGTCCACAGGTAATAAATTGCGTTTAAAGTTTAGACTTGTCTACTTGAAGGTCATGTCAAAGGGGTTGTATGACGATAATACACCAAGAACTGAAATAGCTTTGATCAAAGCTAAAGTTTAAGTTTTCGGACGGCAACGGGAACACCGCCATGACTGTAGCAATACCCCTTCTTTTTTCCTTTTTCGAAAAAGGTATATTTTCCTTCCAAAATATGTCAAGCAGCTAAAAATGACTAGTTGAATGGTGATTTTTATACTGATTTGTCATTTCTTCTTCGGTCTGATAACCATAATCTTACCTTTGTTGCCATTTCAGATAAATTTACACTTAAATCTCCTCAGATGTGCTTTCACTAAACTTTCCTGATATTAACTTACACTTATCTCTTCTCAAACAAACTTACACTAAAGTCCTCTCAGATAAACTTACACTAAACTCTCCTCAGATAAATTTACACTTTACTCTACTCTAATGAACTTACACTAAACTGTCATCAGATAAAAACTTACACTTAACCCTCTTCAGACAAACTTACACTTAACTCTTCTCAAATAACCTATATATACACTCGCCACAGATAAACTTATAGTTAAGTCTTCTCAGATAATCTTACACTAAATTCTTCACAGATAAACTCACACTAAACTCTCTTCAGATAAACTAACACTTTAATATCCACAGATAAACTTGCACTAATTCAAAATGAACATTCATACAAAATCCTTTATATACTTTTAAATTGTTATCAATACCAACACAGGACAAATTGCTTTCAGTGTTCACGTTCCATATCTTTAGGTGGCAATAATATTAAGTTGCCGTGGACACCAAGAAGGAAAGAGTCTGAAATGTAAATGAGAGCTTTATTAATATGTATAAATTGTATTTATGTCACTGTTTCAAAATACACACAAGTACAAAAATGTCTAAAGTAACAATAAAGTTAAATTTTTTTTGGATATCCTTAACAACTTATCTACAGGTGTCATAAAATATAAAAAATAAGTTTTTCCAGTTCCATACTTTGAGCTGACAGGATAAATCTGAACAAAAAATAAACAAAATCAATGTAATGATCCAAATCTACAATAGTTAGTAACAATTTAAACAATAATATTAATGATTTAAGATCATTGTAATTATAGATTCGATGCTTACTTTCAAAGCGCCATGGTGGTGTGTAAGACTAAATAGTGGCGCAACAGCGCTACCAGGGTGATTATTCCAAATGTTCAGTATGTTATCTTTCTAACATTGCGACAAATATTGTACCTGGTAACGAAAATAGTCCGAAAACATCCTGCGTGTGGCTGTTCAATACGCCCACACAGTGGTCTGCAACCCTCATTTCACACCACAGTGATGAATGACACATAAACAAGACGCAAATATCGTGCACATTTTCAGTAAATTTCAACCCCGACACTTCTCAACTTCCATTGGTATTGCCGGGGAAATGAAGGCATTTCCCATCTGTCCTGAGTCTTCTAGATCAGGTAATATATGTGTCTAACTTGAAGTGTTTTGTTTAGGAATGAAGCATGGGTAAATTATATCTATATGCGAATGAATGTAAGATAATTACATAGTCAGCCATTTTATTTTCTTTATGAGGTACATGTATCACCATTATATAATCTTTTTTTTTAAATAAAAGTAATTCTTGCTTGAAACATTCATATATCATGTCATATCAAGAATCGTGGTCAATGACATGTCTTTATATGCTTCTTTTAATGGAACATTCATATAACTGGGTCAAGATAGAGTTAAGCACAGTTCAAGTACTAAAGTTTGTAGATGCTATAGGGCTACAGGTAACAAATATTGGACGACTTAAAGCAAAATCCAAGGGCAAAGGAAAATGGTTGGCAATATGTTGGTACTATATTTTTATTATATAATTATTACACCGATACACATTACAGCAATAGGAGAAATTTATGTACGCATATTAAGCTTGCAAAATGAATTTTGCTACGGATAAAATTTTTATATGTTACTCATTTATATGAGATTTCTAAAAAAGTTTTATTATTTCAAGCACAACTTACTCTTATTTGCATTTGCGTTATATCTGCACGTTGATATTAAATAGCCGCGTAAGTTACATGTGAACGGATTGTTTTGTGTAAAATTGACTTATCGGAATCAATTGATTGCAATCACGAGTTATGTTAAGTGACATAGTTCATTTGTCATTTGTTTGCTGAAATTTGCGTTTAACGATGATGCCGGATACCCTTTGGGATATAATTAACATGTGTCAAACGAATAGAGCATTGTAATATGTAATGTTTTAACTATCACATACATCTATATATATATATATATAAGTATGATTGATCTGTGTCTTAATATAAGATTTCTCGTGACTATTGTGAAATTACGTGGTCACTATACAATTTTTTTAACACTATAAAGTTCGCCGAAACTACAACCTGTTTTATAAGATAAGCCAAGTTCGCCACACCGGTAGTTCGACGAAACCACTTTCATCCTGAGAAGCATCATAAGGTGTTATATACGTTTTATGTTTTGTGTTATTTGAAGTAAAGGGGAGAAAGTAATAGAAATGAGAAAAATGAGATAGTTTACATAATTCTTGACACAATAATGTTGTCATGACATAATGTGATTATATTTTAAAGCAATGACTGACTATATAACTTTTCGAGTTTCCTCAATGAAAGCCTGCATAAATTAAGTCAAGTATCCGGATTTTTAGGCGCACAGGTAGCATTCCGAACTAAATTTCAATTTTCTGTCGTCATTGTCCTACAAGCAATATGTCTAATAACTCTGATCCCAAACTACACAATATGGGAAAAGTAAACACAGACAGTCAGACAGTTAAAAAAATGTCGCAATTCATTCCTTTGATACTCAAAATCGTATGTGAGTCGTGACAAAAAATAACACATTTTGTCCCTCTGGCAAAATACCTGCAAATATACGGGCCACAGAATAATTGTATCTGCTTTAGCAACTCCATATATATGCAAAATATCACAAAGAAACAGGCACTTCGCCTTGTAGAATTTTTTTGCTATTGCATAAAGTGTGTACCCCCTGTAAAATTACCTGTTTTACCGAGCATGCTGTTTAAAAGCAATATTTACAAAAAATGGTGGCATTGATACCTATAATCAACAGCGTATAAATTCTGGTCATGTTTTCGAAATTGCCAGTGATCATTCTTGATGTCACATAAACAAATTCCATGTTGGAAAAGCACTTTAACGACAACCAGTCATTTAAATAAAAACTATTATAGTCACTATATCAAGGAAATCCTTATAGTGATTTGCTACCACAGTAAATGTGTTATGCATCCTTATTAATAAAACAGAGTTATAAACAGTTACCATAGACGTATCTCATAGATGACAGCGATTTGATTTAAACATATGTCACAATTAAGTTAAACCTACTCCCCGTTACTAGGAAGTGTAAATACACCTTTTTTCCACTTGGTCATACTGATAAATATTTGTAGAAAAGAGAGTTTTATGCATCTGTCGTTTGTATGAAATATGTCGTTTGACAATGCTTTGATAGGGAAATTATTCTGCAGGTAATATTTTATGCTAACATGTATTTACATACCACTAGTCTATCGTATTCCCTTTGACGATTCAGATTTAAATAAGTTAAAATTGTCCTTTATTGTCCATATATATATTTTACACATTTTGTTTATACCATACTACACCACCAGACCCTTTACATTTTGCACATTAAACTAAAAGTAATATAAAAGCAACTAAGTGTGTTAAAACACACAATTTGATAATTCAAATTAAATTGATAATAAGGCAAGGTGTTGTTTCTAGTGTTTATATTTTACGTCGGGTTACATAGATTTTATTTTTATTACTAGATGAGTAGAAAGTGTAAAACAATGGTAAATTATGAAATATAAAATGGTAACATCTGGGTATATTAGCATTTATAACTTAAGCTTAATAGTATTCACCTAGAGTGAACCATTCATACTTTACATAAATTCAATTAAATTAGATAAGCAGGACCATGTCAGATTTTGGGACAACGTTCTACTTTAAACCGTTATCTTCATGCGTTATCTTCATGCAACCTGTAGTTTAATTAAATACAATGACATTTTAAATATTTTAACAGGAGGTTTGTGTTACACTTAAATATCAATAGTATATAAAAGCAAATAAACCAAAAATCCTGAATTTCAATAAAAAGACCATAATGGTTCAAATATTGATAGATTATCATATAATTCAAAAACATATATTGCCAATTTAAGATGAATGCTAAATAAGTTTCTTGGAATATTAGTGATACAATCACGCAAAGAGGTGATTATCATCTAAGCTTAACTAATTTTTGAAAATCAATGATTCCGCATTACATTGCAAAAAAGAAATCAAAATAATTTAAACATTATTGTTATAATCTTTCCTTTTTTCTGCAATAGAAAAAGAAACAGACAAAACAAGAAGTCGGTCATAAAAAATGTAATTTGACTAAATAAAGGTCAACATTAGGAAAGACATGGAGGTCCCTGGAAGAACACAAGGCAGCTCACCCAAATATAGTGCAGGAAAGTCTTTGAGAAGACAAAGAACAATATTTTGCCAACCATGTAGTAGTGACGGCGATACGACGGTTGCCATTCGATACTGTCAAAATTGTAACGAGTATTTATGTGCAGTATGTCTTAAGGCCCACCGCAAGCAAGCCGTATCAAAAAATCATATTCTTATGGATGGATACAATATGCCTAACGTAGCACTTCCGACTGTAACCCCAAATGAAATATGTACCAAACATAAAAATGAAATAATTAAATATTTCTGCATTTCACATGATGCGGTGGGTTGTGGGGATTGTATGATCATTCATCATAAATTCTGTAAAATTGATCGTATACAAGATAAATGTACAGACTATTTCGATGGCACAGAGCACCAAAACATCTTAAGAAAGGTAGAGCAGTTTGTAAAAGATATTGATGAAATAAAAAGGGAGCTACAAGCCAGTGAAGGAAACGTGAGACAAGCCTATGCAAAAGCAATTAAAGATGTTACAGCATTCAAGAAGGAAATCATCGATTACCTTGACGACGCAGAGAGTGAAATGCTTGAACTGATAAAGGAAAGGAAAAGGAAGACTGAAATGCTGATAGAGGATAAAAAGCAAGCAGAAAATTGCATTGATAGAAATATTAGAGAAATACAGACACAATTACAGCTACAGGTAAACCAAGCGAATGAGTTGTTTGTTGGGGCAAAACAAATTATGGCAAAACTGAACGCTATTGACGAAAACCTGAATAGATTGAAAAACGACACAACCATTGATGTGTATAAGTTTCAACGATCTTCCCACATGGAAAATATGGTCAAGTCTTTTGTACCACTTGGTGACATGTTTGATAAAACACAACAAAAGATCGGAAACAATGAATCAGAAGAAGATTGTCTGATTTCTAGCAAAACATTCTAGTTTAGATAGGAAAAGCATATTTGATATGGACGCTTATTTTGATTGTGAGAATAACATTAAAACACAAGATGATGCTTCAGATTGCTTTATTGAAAATTGTGCTCTATTATGCTCAAATCAGATTATAGTTACTGATAGGGATAATAAATGTGTAAAATTAGTTGATGTCGTTGACATAAAAGTTTCAAAGTACAATCTTAGGTATTGTCCCTTTGGTGTAGCAGTCGTAAATCCAAATCTTGTTGCTGTTACATTTCCTGAAAAAAGAAAGATTCAATTTTTGACAATAATAACAGGTAATAAAATCATTGAAAGTCACATGCTTAATGTCCATACCGGTTGTCAAAAAATTGCAATATATGAAGATAAGATTATTGGTATAACCGACAAGAGTGTTGAGATTATGAGCATAAGCGGTCAACTGATAAAATCTGTATCTCAACCAAACTTGATGTGGTTAATGGATATTGCTGTCGTTCCAAGTTCACAAATGTTTTATGTCAGTAACATTTCAAATGGGCATAATACAGTTTTCAAGTACGATTTTGATGGCAATCTGATAGCAACATACCAGGACAAGGATCTGGTATATGTGAGAGGATTAGAAGTAACAAGAGACGGTACAGTGCTTGTGTGTAACTGGGACAGATATGGCAGTATTCACATGATAACTCCTGACTGTAAAAAGATCAAAGAACTATTAAAGGATAATATACACGTTAGATATCCATATTGTGTTACGTTCTGTAATGAAACAAATAAACTTTTTGTTGGAAACAGTTATTATAACCTAGACAAGAAGAATAAAAATGGTTTGAAAGTTTTTCAATTAAGGTAGACACTATTACCACATAGCATCACTCGTCTGCTGTAAAACAGATATAGCAAAACTGAAATGAAATATAACTATCAATTTGATATATTCAAAATGTTTTATGCTCAATAAGGCATGAACTAAAACGGCATTATCTGACCAGCAAAAATATATATTCCAGACTTTATTAATGTTACATACATGTATATACACATTGTTACATAAATATTGTTTATCTATATATCATGTCGAACTTTTTTCATACATGCTTCATTTACCTGTAAGTAATCATAATGTTTTATTTGATGGGAAAGATAAAATGTCCGCTTCAATGATAATTCAGAAATGCATATGATAACGCAATACCCTTGCAATTCCAAGAATAATTTATGTTTTAATGTCGTCTTAAATATAACAAAACTGTATTATTCCCCAATGAAATACTACTGGTCTTTTACTTGCTTTACCTTATGAAGAAAAAAGGAATTTCAAACTATTCTTTCAAAATAATAGGAACATTTTGTGTAAATACAATTTAGTAAATGGAAATAAACCTTATTATTTAAAAAGTATTTCAAAAAGGACCCCGAAAAAATCGATAAATTTCAAAGAAAATCTAATAATAAAAAATAACTTAGTAATAAATTTTTAAAAAGACACTTATATTTTCATCTTAATCAAAGATGTGATACACTAGAGTTTTCATAAAATAGTCCGTAGCAGATAAGATGATATATGTTTCCAAAAGCACCGACAAATTTGTCAAAAATAAATGTTTCACACAATTTACATTTGACCTATATATAATGTTTCATAAGGCACCGAGTCGAACCAAATCTGTCACAGAGCACTTAATTTTTTTGACTATAGAAAATGTAATGTTTGACCAAATCATATCACTAGTGAAGCCCTAACATTTTTTCCTTTAGACAAAATATTTGAGAAGCCCTTTATTTGGCAAAATCATATGTTTCTTTTAGCACTGACTGTTTTGTCAAAATTTAAATAGACAGTTGTCTATTTTGTTATACTATATTGATCCTGTGTTTCACAAAGCATTGTTTGTTTATCTGCATCTGCCTGGTTTTGAAAAAAAACATTCTGCTTGGTTTTATCACTAGCAAAACAATTCTGGTTTTGTTTGTATTTTATTTGCAAAAGAACACTTCCTGTTAAGTCATAGATATAAAAGTTAAGTTTATGCCTTAATTATATAAAGATATTTATGCATTAGTAAAATACGAATAAGAAAATAGAGTAGGAAGCAATAGTAGCATGTGTTCTACCTCAAAGGATGAAAATGGTATGTCCCGGATGAGGATTACAACTACATGTTTCAATAATTGCACCAAATCTAATAATGTACATAATCTCCATATTGCAACCTATCTAAATTCATGTTTCGTAAAGATAATCCAAGAACTTTATGAATTATCACCGGATTCAGTTTTTGGTTTCTGGGTGAAAAACAGACAGATGGAGGACAAACCTATTAGTCGACTGGTAGGAAACCAGTAAACAAATAAAGAATTACAAAAGCAGCATACCTTCAAGATCAGTAACTTTTGTGAGATCTGGATATTTCCAGATGGACAACTGATTTTGTGAGAAACCATTGCCTGATATCAATTCTTTATACTCCTTGGACCATAAAATAGCACATACCTAAAATTTCAATGTATACATATAACAACAATTCTATTTTTTAATAAAATAATTTAAAGCTATTTGATAACTTTTAGTGTTAATGTTGTCAACGTGATCATCTTATTATTAAATAATATGACGATTAATTAAAGTATTTAATTATTTAGGTATTAATCAAATCATGTTGCATGTTTTAAATGAAAAAGAACTGTTACATATTCCTTTATATTTAATGTTCAATATTACAAGAGCCATCGCGGAGACAACGCTCGACTTTTTACTTTTTCTAAAAGCAAACAAATGTGGATGGACGACGGAATTCAACAACGATCCTAAAAGCTCACCCTGAGCCAGCTTTGATAAAGCCCAAGTTTAGTCTGGTTTACTTAAAGGTCCTGTCCCAAGAGTTGTTGTGGCCAAGTATGAAGACAATACACCAAAAAATTAAATCATTTTAGCTTACAATAAACTTTCCTCAGATAAACTTACAGTAAACTCTCCTCCGATAAACTTACAGTAAACTCTCCTCCGATAAACTTTCACTAAACTCTTCTCAGATAAACTTACAGTAAACTCTCCTCCGATAAACTTACAGTAAACTGGCCTACTCCTCAGATAAAGCCTTTCAACATGAATTTGGGCAAATATTCTAGAAAGTAGCGTAGATCTTAAACGATAAGCATTATATTAAATTATGAAAAACTTAGAAAGCAGATATAGTTTTGAGTGCATTGTTGAAGAATAATGCATGGTTCGAGTTCAAATGGGCAAGAATATGAATACGAAGTCCAATAGGCCTGGCTGGGTGATTAAGTACAAAGTATTCGGACGATTAACCGTGCATAATTATATAATAATGCAAGAAAAAATAAATTATTTCCATTATTACATGATAGAAAAATCGGAATTGGTAAAAATATGTTGAATTACATTGAGCTTAGAAGTAATTTTGCTGACGTCATTTGGTTTATTGACGTTAATTCTGACGTCATGAAATAAAAGTATTCTTTTTATGCTGTGCATATATCTCATGCACTTGATCGCTCTATTTGTTGATAGAGGAATAGTGTGAATCATGTTTGAATTGTATTTTTTAAATCTTGATATATGCTTTTGGCACATAACTTGCTTTAGCTCGTTTTAGCTCATGAACTAGAATTAATTTAATTTCTTTAGAGTGTCTTCGCATGCCATACGCAAATTTGAACAGTCGATAACACATAAGTAAATTATTATGGAATACAAATATGATTTTTCCCTTTTAAGCCCTATAATAATTCGTTTTTTTTAATTGTCGAAAAGAAAAAAAATACAGTTCCGCGTAAGTGAGATGTGTGTATCATAATCTTAAGTTATTTCGATTTTAAATATAGACATCGAGATCAAAGTCGACCGGCAAATCTAAATCATTTTATAAAAAGCCGGACGACAAGTATGATTTTGATTGATCCGGTTACCTCAATAGGTTGAGCGTTGGATTGTGAATCGGACGATCCGGTTTTAATTCACGCACGGTGCAGGTCACTTTCGTTTTGTTTGATCATGATATAATTTCTACGGTCATCAGCACTGCACCTCTGCTCTTGCATGTACAAAAGTTATCAGGTACTTGCGAAAGTGAAGGCAGCTAGTACTGGTAAACTGCTTGACAGCCTGCTCCGGAACGATTCGGTGGCTGAACTGTACACCAGAATGTTAATTCAGTCTTGTTTAAACTGTTTGTCAAAATTTGACGCACACCTATTTGTTTCAAATTGAAACACTATACTTTATTGAATGTGCGATTACTAGGTCTTTTAACATTAGTATCGTTAAAATGATTTAGTTGTCTTATTTTAAAAAAAAAATACCAAATATTAAAAACGTATTTAAATTAAGAAAATAAAGTTGTTGTTTCTTAAATGTAAAAATGACACAAAAAATAATTCTTGAAATGATTTTTATTTAAGATAATTATGTGAAAATAAATTTAACAAACATCCCGTGACAACACCCGGAACGTTGAATAATAATATAACAAAGTTAAGATATTTGGAGAAAAGAAAGGTTATCCCTGTCCTTTTTTATGAGAGACCAAACAAACGGGTCATATTACTTCAATTACACAGGGACATTAATCCTCGCGTAAGATTTTACGTTTCGTTCTTTTTATTCGAAATTCGAATTTGTAATTGCGTTGTTAATATCAATTCAAATTGAAGGTACATACTCATTGCCCGTTAAAATAAATCAAACGTGTGCCAGAAAAACTAAATTGTGGTGAACACACACCCTTCGATAGGTTTGACTATTTTATATATTTTTTAGCAATGCATAGAAACAAAGGATAGGTGGGGACATATGTCGATGTGGTTATGATACTCAATAACATGTAATAAAGTTATATCATCGAAAATAATCTTGCACTATTGAAATGTGTTGTGGATTTCTTATATCTTTAAATTCGAATATCTGATTATGTAGAACAAACTTTTAAATGGTTATATTGCCTAAATTTTACATTAAATCATCAATGAATTTTCTGGTGTATACAAAGTCCCCTGTTATGCATCTGTGGCTTCAAACCGGAAGTGACATACATTTATCTATTTAAAGATAGTACCAGTTCGAGAAAACGGGATATGCAGTGTTTTTTTTAAAGAATTCACTGATGGCGATATATGACTGGATAATATATATGCTTTGAACTGGAGCTGCTGACAGAATCACCTTTTTGATACGAAACGCGGCAGCTTGTCTGTTTCCTCCGCAAAAATAGATTGAAGTAAGGAACATGATAACCAATAAGTTTCTGTTTTCATTCCACATAAAATAATCACCTAATTTCAACATAAAGTTATCTTTTAAAACAATAAGCGGTCGATTCCATTAACTTGCCTTTCTATAACTGACTACTTGTTTACAAAGTGTATGAGTTAATAGGGGCATTTAGAGATAGGATTTAACAGTCACTGTTGTTCTCGTATATCCCCGTTTTTTATCTTAAATTGATGGAATCGTATTGAACTAAACAATTGACTAATAACAGCTAGATTCAAATCGACTTGAAATTACGATTCAAACAGCGGGTCCACAAAGTGCACCTAATGAACATCTTTTTAAGACAATGATATATAAATATATATGCATGCAAAATTGATAGTTTACACAAACTTAAATTAATAATGCTTATAAATAATGCTTGACAAACTGTCAAAAGAACAAGACCAGTCAAAAATAAATATTATTTACTGAGTGATACGATTTACGCACTATTAGAGCAGCGGCGGGTTTTCCCATTTCACATGTCCTTTAAGTTAATTCTGCCGTAAGGCTATTTAATATGGGATATCTTACTATCAGAGAAAAATAAAACAATGATAGTTAAACTTGTGCAAGAAAATTTAGTAACGCAGTTCAGGTAAATTTGTCATTAAAGTGTTCATCGTTCATTGATTCGTTTTATGTAATCGGCCCTTTAGTATAATATTACTCTATAAACATTAAAATACTAGCTGTAATGTGATACACGTGTAAATAAAGCTTTATAAACTTGTTTGCAATGACACAATGTTGATATCGTCTGCCTATTAGACAATACCGGTATCTCTGTTGACAAGGAAGTTAAATATATACCATACGTCTGTTTTCGGATATGTGTACATAGATACAGAGTTTTTGAAGAAGATTTAATCAATATTCAGGTTTTCAAAAGAAAGTCAGTACAATCTTAATATCAGTGGAAGAATATGTCCTACTCGTGATATGTAAGTACACTTTGACATTTTATTTAAAGTTTTGTACAAATGTATAAATAACTTTTCTATAAACACTATCGCTATTTCCTATATAAACGCTATATGTGTTTGTTGCAAAAAATACCAAAACAGAATGTAATCTTTGATAATCTGCAAAGTTACATGCTTAAGGTGCAATTTTACTTGATATATTAGAATAATTTAAATATACCAATTAAATCTAACTTTTGTTAACATGTTTAGTTGCTTCTCTATTTGATTTTTTTTATTACTGACAAATAAATTTAAGACAAATAAATTTAAGACGAGAATCATGAACTAGGCAGTCACAGGAACAAAACTTTTCTCCTTGTAAAGAATAAAATTGTGGTTTCCTAACTTGACCCACGTGGGTCATGTTAGAGCGTTCAGATTTCACATTAGTTGTCACAGGGAACTCTGGAAGCGTTAAACAAATTAACACGTCAAATCAATGATTTAGGCTTGCTTCAATCATCTGACAAAACATAATACTAGTATGCTGTTTGTATAGTGATAATACACATACACATATACGGGTACAATATTTCAACAATGACAAAACATATATACCAGTATGGTGTTTGTATAGTGACAATACACATATACATATACCGGTACAATATTTCAACAATGACAAAACATATATACCAGTATGGTGTTTGTATAGTGACAATACACATATACATATACCGGTACAATATTTCAACAATGACAAAACATATACCAGTATGGTGTTTGTATAGTTACAATACACATATACCGGTATATGATTTCTAGAATGGCAATACATATATGGTATTTCTATGCAATGACAACTAAATGTATAAGTTACGTTTTTTATATCCCTAGTGATAATTTATGTGTATAGTGTTTAAAAAGATAATATGTCATTATGTTATTTATAAAAAAATTAAATATTTTGTGATAGTGCACCATGTCCAATATCTAATAAAACAATTTCTGATTACCATTTATTTTATCATCTTTTGACTCTACATATTAAAGTAAAATGCTTCGTTAAAAGTATAAAGACACATTTCCGTTTCTTAACAACATTCTGTGCTCACGAGCATCGTTTCGTTTCCGGACATGCATCAACTGTGATGTCACAAACCGGATGTTAAAGTATTCAATTAAGTTGTTGACATATGCAATAGAAATCACATACGACTTTCTGTGTGCCATTTTTTATGTTTGAAAAATAATAGAATATAAAAAATAAAACTTGTGTAATTCAGTTATTAATTGTTTACATGAAATTGTAATAATTGGCGTGAAATTTAAGATATAAGTTGGCCACATCTCAGTGCTGGTGATGTAACAAAATGTTCATCTGAGACAAGCAATGTTTACCGAGAAGAACATTTCATATTATTACCCCTCACTTTTTTCGTAATGCTAATTTCCCATAGGCCTCTGGGAGTTATTTTTACTGTTAATGCAAGTGTACCACGTGACTAAGAATTTTGTACTGTTACATAGGTAACAGTATATAAATAACACATGGGTTTGTGGGTAACAGTAAAAATATCATCCCGAAAAAATACTAGCTGTTACCCGAGGCGTAGTTATTGTTACTCTTGGTTTATTTTTGTTACAGTTAGATTTAGTTGACAATTTCAGATCATCACAGTATGATATTTTTACTGTTACTCACAAACCCATGTGTTATTTATTTTATTACCCCGAACAAAAATACTGTGATGATCTGAAATTATCAACTAAATCTAACTGTAACAAAAATAAACCAAGAGTAACAATAACTTAACAATCCTTACCTTTTAAGTTTCAAGTGTATTTTAGGCCTACTTGATAAGTTTTCTTTTTCTTTTATTCTTTAAGCAAGTGATGATATCTACAAATCATAAACATACAATAAGCTAGGTTTTATTTAGTAAACAAAACACAACCCATTTACACGGTTATGATCTTTGAAATCTGATCCTTCTGTTTCCAGAATATTCTTAGCATGATTTTTGACAAAATAACGATGATATCCTATATCTATCCACCATATACATAAAGTTTCACTGATTAAAATTGTAAAATAATCCTTTGTTGCATGCTTAAATCGTCTGCATGTTCCAGTTTGACACATAATTATTTACATTGCAATTACTTCCGTTGAAAACGGATGTTCACTTTTTGACTGTTCAACAAAAAGATATTTTATGTACGCGAAAAGCATACCAGGTTACAAACAGCTAAATTTTATGAGTGTCATAGTTACTCCAGAGAAGACATTGATGTCATATCGGGGTTTAACGTTGAAAATAAGAATGAATCTAGAAAAAAATGGCGGCCATTTTATTTCATTTTATTTAGAAAATAGACCACGTGACCAGATTTTATACTGTTAAAAAAACTGTTACCTATGTAACAGTACAAAATTCTTAGTCACGTGGTACACTTGCATTAACAGTAAAAATAACTCCCAGAGGCCTATGGGAAATTAGCATTACGAAAAAAGTGAGGGGTAATAATATTTTTTAACAGGTCACGTGGTCTATATCCTTAATAAAATGAAATTAAATGGTGTGCTTTTCGCGTATAAAATATCTTTTTGTTGAATAGTCAAAAAGTGAACATCCGTTTTCAACGGAAGTAATTGCAATGTAAATAATTATGTGTCAAACTGGAACATACAGACGATTTAAGCATGCAACAAAGGATTATTTAACAAATTTAATCAGTGAAACGTTACAGAGATGGTGGACAGACATAGGATATCATCGTTATTTTGTCAAAAACCACGCTAAGAATATTCTGGAAACAGAAGGGTCAGATTTCACAGATCATAACCGTGTAAATGGGTTAGTGTTTTTTTTTCCTAAATAAAACCTAGCTTATTGTATGTTTATGATTTGTAGATATCATCACTTGCTTAAAGAATAAAAGAAAAAGAAAACTTCTCAAGTAGGCCTACAGTAAAGTACACTTAAAACTTAAAAGGTAAGGACAGTTTAGTTATTGTTACTCTTGGTTAATTTTTGTTACAGTTAGATTTAGTTGACAATTTCAGATCATCTCAGTATTTTTGTTCGGGGTAATAAAATAAATAACACATGGGTTTGTGAGTAACAGTAAAAATATCATCCCTCGTAAAAATACTGTTACCCTCGGCTACGCCTCGGGTAACAGTATTTTCCTCGGGATGATATTTTTACTGTTACCCACAAACCCATGTGTTATTTATATACTATTATCCTCTGTGGATATGACATTTATTTTATTCTACCAATTACAAGCTTATACAAATACATGTTCAAGGTAGAGATCTCAAACATGGCTATATTTCAAATAAATCCTATGAGGCATAAAGGTTAGACCTATCATTTAGGTAGCAATGAAATCAATTAAGGTAAACGTTTTTTTTAAAAATAACACATGGTTTCTGACTTCTTAACCTCTTGACTCTCACCTCTGTGGTTTCGAATCTCGTTAGGTTATTCGGATTCCTTGATATTATAAAACTATCCTGCTAACTTACGGAACATCGGTATAAACTACCTTTCCACGAAATCACATTGATAAAATATTTGAGAAAAGAGAGGTCAATATATCTGTCGTTTGTACATAATATTTCATTTGACGTGAATTTATAGGCAAATAAACATGCAGGTAAGATTTTATGCTGACATGTATTTATATATCACTAGTCTGTCACGTTTTCTGTACATAGTAATATTACTATTATTAATAGTTATAGTATATGAAACGAGATAGACACTAGCTGGGGCGACATCAAGGGATGTTTCTGCTAAAAAAAATGTCGAAAAAACTTTTTTGCAGAAACATCCCGATATATATACTACATGTTTTCTTTTCTTTTTTTTGTAATAGAAATTAATATCAAATATTGATTCAAGATTAAATGGCTTTTTTTCAGTGGAAATAATTCATTCAGCGGATGTAACTTTTGATTAAATGAGAGTAAATTTCATTTATAAATTATCTTTGTTTATATTTTTCAGTGTGTTTATTTATTTTATTTTATTAATCCATTTTTTTGGTACTAGAAATGTTCGTTACCACTGCCCCATTGGAGCCTTTGTGAAAAAATGCATTGATATATACAAGGTGCTATATAGCAGTCGAGGTTATTTCCTATATGAATGAATAAAAAAAACTGTACTGCTATGTATCAATACAGTTTTCAAATGCTCATTGAAGTGTCCTACGTATAATGGTTTAGTAAGAACAAAGGAAAAGTTCCAAACCATGCCATAATAGTTAATATCAGATAAAATTGTACTTTATTGCCCGTGTACATGTTGCCTTTATCTTTTTACGCAAGTTATTGATAAAGCATACTAAATCATACCTCTTACATTTTGCACGTTAAACTCAACTTATCATAAAATAATCTATCGTTGATCATCATGATTTGCACCCGTTTACTATATATAGCATATTGACCGTGTCGGGAAATCTCTACGGCGAATTCCATACCTTGTATATGTTACACATTGTAAACGGGTAGGGCCTACTGGATTATATTTTTGTTGTTGATGATCAAGGGGAGATTACCGGTTTTTGATGATAACTTGACCATTATTGGCAAGATAAATGTGCTGAACGCCTGTGGTTAAACTAAAAGTAATATAAAGCAACAAACTGTGTTTAAACTCAATGTGTGATTATTCAAATAAAATTCATTACAAACAAACAAAAACTTGAATTTCAATAAAAAGACCATAATGGTTCAATTATTCATAAATTATCTAAAATTTAAAGCATATATTGCTAATTTGAAATGAATGAAATGAGTTTCTTGGAATATTAGTGATCCAGTCACGAAAAGAGGTGATTGTCATCTAAGCATGACTTCATGATTTAGCACGATTGCATTGAAAAAATTCAAACATTGTAATTCTCTTTCCATTTTTCAGAAATAGATAAAGAAACAGACACAGAAGGAAGTGCGTCATGAAAAAAGTAATTTGACTAAATAAAGTTCAACATTAGATAAGACATGGAGGTCCCTGGAAGAACACAAGACAGTCCACCAAAAGATAGTGCAGGGAGGTCTTTGAGTGGAGAAAGAACAATATTTTGTCAACCATGTAGTAGTGACGGCGATACGATGGTTGCCATTGGATACTGTCAAAATTGTAACGAGTATTTATGTGCAGTGTGTCTAAAAGTCCACCGCAAGCAAGCCATGTCAAGAAATCATATTATTCTGGATGGTGACAATATGCCTAAAGTATCACTTCCGGCTGTAACCCCAAACGCTTGTTCTGAAATATGTACCAAACACGAAAATGAAATAGTTAAATATTTCTGCATGTCACATGATGCAGTGGGTTGTGGAGATTGTATGATCATTAATCATAAATCCTGTAAAGTTGATCGTATACAAGATATATCTTTAGAATATTTCAATGGCACTGAACACCAAAATATTCTAAAGAAGGTAGAGCAGTTTGTGAAAGATATCGATGAAATAAAATGGGAGCTACAAGCTAGCGAAGGGAATACGAGACAAGCATACACACAAGCAATTAAATATGTCAAAGCATTCAAGAAAGAAATCATCGATTATCTTAATAAGGCAGAAAGAGAAATGCTTGAAATGATAAACGAAAGGAAAAAGAAGAATGAAATGCTGATACAGGAACTACAGCAAGCAGAAAGTCATATTGGAAGAAATATTAAAGAAATACAGACGAAATTACAGCTACAGGTAAACCAAGCGAATGAGTTGTTTGTTGAGGCAAAACAAGTAAAAGCAAAACTTAACGTTATTGGTGAAAATCTGAAAAGGTTGAATAAAGACATCAGCATTGATGTATTTGAGTTTCAACATTCTTCCCACATGGAACAAATGGCCAAGTCTTGTGTGCCGCTCGGTCACATAGTTGATGGATCAGAGCAAAAGGTCGAACACAGGGCATCAAAACAGGATTGTCTTATTCCTGGCAAAGAAGAAGCAGATCAAACTGGTTTAGACAAGAAGAGCATTTCTGAAATGGATGCTTATTTTGATTGTGAAATAAACATTAAAACACAAGATGATGTTACAGATTGTTTTGTTCAAAGTTGTGTACTGATTTACCCAAGTCAGGTTATAGTCACTGATAGGAAAAATAAATGTGTTAAATTGGTTGATGTAAATAATAAAGAAGTTTCAAAGTACAATCTTAAGTTTATTCCATCAGGTGTAGCATTAGTATATCCCAATCTGGTTGCTGTGACATTTCGTGATGAAAAAACAAAACAATTTTTCACACTAACAACAGGTAATAATATCATTGAAAATCACATGATCAATGTCCATACAACTTGTAGGAAAATTGAAATCCATGAAGATAAGATTATTGGTATAACCAACAAGAGTGTCGAGATCATGAGCATGAGTGGACAAAAGATAAAATCTATATCTCATCCAAATATGAAATGTTTAATGCATAGTGTTGTCGTACCAAGTTCACGAATGATTTATGTCAGTGCTGGTGAAATTAATGCTGTTTTCAAATTCGATTTTGATGGCAATCTGATAGCAACATACAAGGACAAGAATCTGGTAAATGTGAGAGGATTAGAAGTAACAAGAGACGGTACAGTGCTAGTGTGTAACTGGGCTGAAGATGGCAGTATACATATGATAACTCCTGACTGTAAAAAGATCAAAGAACTCTTGAAGGATGATAGACATGTTAGTTATCCATGGTGTCTTACGTATTGTAATGAAACAAATAAACTTTTTGTTGGAAACTATGCTGCAAATATTGACAAAGAGTTTTCTAATGTCATGAAATTATTTCAATTAAGGTAGATTTTAATTCCACATGATATCAATAGTCTGATATCAAACAGAAATAGCAAAATTGTAATGGCTATATCGAAAATATAATTTTGATATACATCATGTATTCAAAATGTTTCATGAATGATAAGGTATGATAATAAAAAGTATTTTATCTGAACAAAGAAGAAATAAAAAATATTCAAGACTTTATTGTTAAGTACATGCATGTACATTGCTACAAAAATATGTTGCATATCTGTATATAATGTTGGACATTTTTTTCATACATTCATTATTTACAGGCAAGTAATATCACGCTTTTATACGCTTTTGATGGAAAATTTCATTGTTGGCTGAAATACATGTTTTATTTTGTATTCCTACAAAACTATTTTTACTCTCTGCTGATCTTTTGATTCCGTTACGTATACCTTATGAAGAAAAAAAGGAATTTCAAACTAAACTTTCGAAATAATATGTGCAACTCCAATGTTGTAAATGGTAATAAACCTTATTATTGAAAAGTGTTTCAAAAATGACCCTGAAAATATCATTAAATTTCAAAGTAATCATTAAATATAACTTAGTGATAAAGTTTTAAAAAAGACACAATATTTTCATCTGAATCAAATTTGCGTTTAATGATCTTTTTAAACGAGATTTTTTCTAAAATATTCCGTGGCAGTTAAGAGGATATATGTTTAAAAAAATATTAAATGTTTCACAAAATTTACATTTTACCTTAAAATATAATGTTTCACAATGCACCGACTCGAACCAAATTTGTCACAGAGCACCTAAAGCTTTGACCATAGTTTCAGTAAGCAGTGTAATGTTTGACCAAATCAAATCTTTAGTGAAGTCCTGACAATTTTTTTCCTAAGACAGAATACTTGAGAAGCCTTTAATTTGGCCAAATCAAATGTTTCTTTTCGCACTATCAGTTAAGTCCAAATTTAATGGACAGTTGTCTATGTTGTTATATTTCATTGATCATGTGTTTCACAAAGCATTGTTAGTTTCATCTACAAGAATCCTTTGAATCACAGAATCTCGTTTAATTTTATCTGATATGTGATGCCTTGAGAAGAACATGTTCCGTTTTCTGTTTGTCTGGTTTTAAAGAAACAGTCTTCTTCGTTTCATCACTAGCAAAGCAATTCCAGCTATGTATTGTTTCATCATCAGCAGCACTTGCAACCATAGTGTTATCTTTTGACATTGCTAGGTTAAGGACACAAGCCTTATGACCTTAAAGAAAAACCATGAAAATTAAAATTTCAGGTTTTGTTTGTACTTATTTGATCTGTTAAAAAAATGCCTGTTAAGTCATAGTAACAAAAATGTGTGTGTAGGATATAATAAGACTTGTGCATAAGTAAAACACGAATAATAAAATAAAGAAGGAAGCAAAAGTGAAATATGTTCTACCTCAAACTATGAACTTGTTAGGTCTCAGATGATGATTATAACCACATGTTTCAACAACTGCACCAAATCCTATTATGAGCAAAGTCTCCATATTGCAACCTATCTAATTTCAAGTTTTATTTAGATAATCCAAAAATTTATGAATTATCATCGGATTTAGTTTTTGAGGTCTAGGTGAAAAAAGGACAGACGGGAGGACAAACCTAATGTCCCCACCAGTGATCTGTTAGGGAACCAGTGAACTAATAAAAAATACTACTTTAAGATCAGTAACTTTTGTGAGATCTGGATATTTCCAGATTGATAGAAGCCATGGCCTGCTATCAATTCTTTTTCTCCTTTGACCATAAAATAGCACATACCTAAAATTTCAATGTACATATAAAACAACAATAAGTTCTTTTCTTCTAATAAAATAATTCTAAATTTAAGGTATTTCATAACTACTGGTGTTTAAGTTTTCAACATGATTATCTTAAGATATCTAATTAAAGAATATAATCATTTGGTAATAATAATTATCAAATCATGGTGTTTGTTAAAATTATTGAAATAAAACTGTTACATGTTTAATATACATGTACAAGAGTGATCATTGATCACATGTATCGACTGATGATACCCAATTATGCTGTTGTATTGAATTGTGATTAGACGGTTTCTTGGAAATTTAAATGACAATATACATATTTGAGTGTTTTCTATAATATGAAGAAAGTAAAAATTACCCAAAAATCATGTATGGGCCAAAAACACATTTTTTTATTCATTGGCCTTTACTCGGCCAACAATCACTCTATTGAAACAAACGTTGAATATGCGCAAGTACTTGTAATTGTGATCAGTCATGTAAAATTTCATTCAAATTGCTGAAATATTATAAAAGAAATTATAGCTGTAGGTTTTGAGGGGTGAGTCATTGTTTTGAAGCAGGTGATGCAAAAATCATAAATTGGCAAAATGCCTTTTTTATTCAACGAACATAACTCTTAGCCAAAAATATTCAACCGTAAACCCGAGTACTTGAGGTACTGATGAATGTAGTAAAATTTCATTCAAATTGAATATGTAGTAGATCCGTGTACGACCTTTTATATACTTTTGAAAAACATTTTTTACATTCGTGATTCATACCGATTTAAGCATCAACAGATCCAGTGTTTACGATCCATATCTTAATATGCCTGTCAGCAGTGCCTCCACCACTAGCAAGAATGTTTGGCTGCCATGGACACCAAGAATGAGTTTGAACTGTAAATCAGAGGTTTTTTACTATGGCATATATTTTTTTTTATTTCAGTCACTGTTGCAAAATAAACACATGTATAGAAATGTATAGAAATGTCAAATTAAAGTTAAGAAAGATATTATATTTAGAGAGATTCGAAACAATTTATCAAAAAGTATCGTAAATGGGGCCAAGAACTAATTTCTTACACCCGCATACTTTGAGCCGATTAAAAAAAATCAATTTCACGATCCAAATTTACAAAGAGTTAATCAATGAAAAACTTCAACTAACACTCCTTTTTGTTTCAAAAACGAATACATTTTTCCTTCTTTAGATAAAAATGTATGGGACATAACAAAGGACAAACATGAGTTTTTATAACGTTTAATTAATGATCTTAGAACATGTTAATTCTTATTACCCGAAGACTGTAATGCTGAATGTTATTAATGACAACATGATTTTGTGATGTTTAACTGTAAGCCAAGAAAAATTAGTAGGGATGATGAAATGTTCGAGATGTTTAACTTAAAGAATAGTGTTAAGCATGAACGTACAGAAAATAAGGACTTGATGTAATGAAAATAAATACTGTTTTACTGGTAGCACAGTACAAGGACTAATAACTGGTATATGCTAAACAACAAGAGGTAGCAAGTGAGAGCAAGCACAGAGATTTGATAGATGCCAAAAGACTAGAGGTTACAAGTGGTGGTACACGCTTGTGTATAAATGAATAAAATATGGAAGTAACTGAAACAAATCTAATCTCTCAATGTTAAATTTTAAAGCATAATGAACAATTATTTGCCGTGTTGTCACATTTTGTAATAAGACATATACACTTATTTGCAAACAATGAGGCAAAACGTGATGGAAATAATATATGTGATTTTAAGTAGTTCAGATAAATCTTATTCCTTTATAGACAGAGAATTATTGGTAATATTATTTGGTTATATTAATACCGATAAAAACAAATTTCAAATTTTCAGTTTTTAGAAGCAGAGATTTGTAGAGCTTGCAAGATGGATTTTGCTGTAGACAAATAATTAACATGATATGCATTCATGAGAATACTAAACGCATGAGAATACTAAACAATTTTATTATTCCATGCACAACGTATGCGTATTTATATGCTTTTATGGTAAACACACGGGAGTTTTTTTTATTTCTTTACATAAAAATGACAAAATATTATTTAAGAGCAAAAATCAAAACACTTTTCTGTATTAATAGATGTATTGTGCACTTTGCCTTTGTCATTTACATATAACTTGGATACTTTCCAAAATTAAAGTTACAAAGGTAAATTTCTTCTAAATTAAAGTTACATAGTTAAGTTTCTAGCGTGCATCTCGGGCTATTTGCACGTGCTTCAATGTTAAAGGTTTTAATTAGAAAATTAAATAAATGGTAATTTGATACATTTCTAGGAATATTTGGTGAAAACGGAAATGACATACGTTACATTTGCTAATCATTTGTGTTATATGACACATTTTCGTGTGAAAATATCTGGAAAAAAGTGATCCCTCGGAAACATGAAAATTAACAAAATTACATGAAAATTGCAGACTCCCTTTGATGGATTCTGTACATGAGTGATAATGAAAAGGTGCAATCTTTCACGATACCTAGTACCGGCTTGAGTGGTACTCATTGTTCAAAACTTATAAGTTCTGAAATCAATGATCCCGAAGGACCAGAAAATTTTAACAACACTGTCAAAGTGAAGTACGTTTATGATGTCGCGTTTTCCGATAATGCGGATACATGTACTTATTGAGAGATATTTTATATGTGGCATATGTATTCAAGATTCATACCGGTATATATACTGTCACATGTATTGATTGTTTGATTTGTGTCTTAATAAATGATCTCTCGTAACTTCTATAAAGCGCTGTAATGTGTTATATACGTTTTATGTTTTGGGTTATTTGATGTAAAGGGGAGGCAGTTATAGAAACGAAATATTTGAGGTAGTTGGTGTATTTCTTGAAATCTGCATAGTCTCAGAAAGAATGATGTCGTACATGTCATAAGGTGATTTTATTTTAAAACAATGACTGGCTATTTAACTTACCATTATTCCTCCATGAAAGCATGCACACGAGTAGGTAAAGTCAAGTATTTCGGATAGATGTTATGCACCCTTATTAATACTACACAAAACTTTATAAACAGTCAAGTAATATAACTGTGTTTAAAACTCTACCCAATAGGTGACAGCAACTTGATTTTTTACGTATGTCAAGATTATATTTAACCTACTCCACTTGAACCAGGAAGTGTAAATACGAAGTCACACAGATAAAATATTTGCAGAAAAAATAGGTCAATATATCTTATGTTTGAATGTCTTTATTTTATAAGCAAATTAATCTTCAGGTAAAATTTTATATTTATTAATTTGTATAGATAAGATTTTATGCTTATTTATGTAGAAACTATTTTATGCTTATCAATGTATCAGTTTCGTTTTTTTGGATTATTCAGCAAATTCTTATTCATCTGATAATTGTTCTTCACTATAAATATTGCCTTTATCTCCTTACACAAGTTATTCATACATCATACACAATTAGAATCTTACTGTTTGTACGTTAAACTAAAAGCAATATTAAAACAACTACCCAAAATTTGATGATCAAATTAAGTTGATAAAAGACTAGATAAAAGGCAAGTTGTAGTCAGTGTTGATATTTTAAGTCGGGTCATATAAAGGTTTTGATCAATACATTCGTTAAGACAGACAGTTTGTGTAACATTATTTAAGTATCAATAACATATAAAAGCAAATTAACAAAACTTGAATTTGAATAAAAAAAAACTCGTAATGGTCCAATACATATAGCAGTACAATATTTCTACAATGACATTACATATACCATTACAATATTTCTACAATGACATTACATATACCAGTACAATATTTCTACAATGACAATACATATACCGGTACAGTATTTCTTCAATGACAACACATATACCGATACAGTATTTCTACAATGACAATACATATACCGGTACAATATTTCTACAATGACAATACGTATACTGGTACAGTAATTCTTCAAATGCAATACATATACTGGTACAGTATTTCTACAATAACAATACATATACTGGTACAGTATTTCTTCAATGACAATACATATAACGGTACAGTATTTCTCCAATGACAATACATATACCGGTACAATATTTCTACAATGACAATACATAATATACTGGTACAGTATTTCTTCAATGACAATACATATACCGGTACAGT